TTTAAAATGTTTCATAAACATTTCGTTTTGCCCAATTATGCTAGAAATACAGGGTTAAGCCCTAACAATCTGCAATTTTCCAGAATCATCTGATTGTGTTCTATTTTGCAAATAAAAAATGCAAGGTTAACCCCTTACAATTTAAATTTTTTTCATGAACATCTAATTTTCCCCAATCTTATTCAAAAAGCAAGATTAACCCCTTACAATCTGCAATTTTCCAGAAACATTTGATTTTTTCCCATTTTCGCTTTAAAAAAATGCGAGGTTAACCCCTTTCAATTTGAAATTTTTCGTAACATCTAACTTTGCAAAATTTTACTAAAAATCAAGCTTAGGCCTTTTATTTTTTTTTTACCTGTTTTTTTTTTCGCTTCAAATGTCGGCTGATGACTGCAAATGGTGCCCGACTAAACTTAGTGCAAATATTATGGGAGACCAGAGAGGCCACAAAAAGCTTACTCTCGATCATTACCCCATCTACGTTAAAATTTTGCAGCAGCAGGATTCCAGTCAAACCAGTGAGTTTGGCGGTTTTGAGACATCATCGTTCATTGAAAAAAAACTTTTTCATTTTGCCGATGCGCATGGCTACGGCGACGCGCGGGGCATACCAGAAACCGGAGACTTTTTGGGGGGGGGCCTTAATCCCTTACATCTGAAATTTTTCGGAAACATCTGATTTTGCCCAATTTCGCTAAAATATGCAATGTTCACCCCTTACAATCTGAAATGTTTCATAAACATCTAACCCCATACAATCTGCAATTTTCCAGAAACATCTGATTTTTCCCGATTTTGCTTTTTAAAAAAATGCAAGGTTAACCGCTTATAAGCTTACAATTAGATTTTTTTTCATAAACATCTAATTTTGCCCAATTTTACATCAGCTTATGCTAACAAATTATCAGGTAACTGGATCATTAAACGGGACAGGTGCACATCGGCCTTGGAGCTCAGACCATGTGTCATGCACTCCTCAATGCATAGATGATGCACATAACACTATGGGTAGTACAGGCACAGCTGGGGGTACTGCCAAAACAATGATGAACGCATTGCGTATGCTTAAAGAATTACCCACAATTCCGGTTTTTACCGTTAAGGTCTGGCTCTAATCACTTTATGCGATCCCCTGACGTCTCATACACTGACTTTAGGCAAAATAGCCAGACTTTTGCGGTCTAGTAACCAGACTTTGACTCTTAAAGAAACATCGAATGAAAAGGGAAATATCAAATGCATATTGCAAAAGATCGAATGCAAACATACCGATGAAACATCGAATACAAATAGCTCGAAATGTCAAACATAATGTGAAACATTGCTCACATATTTGAGAATATCGCAAATATATTGTAAAACAACACACACAATTGTATCGAAAAACATCGCACATTTAATGCAAAAAATCGAACATAATATTGAAAACATCGCACATATATATCGTCAAAAACATAGCACATATAAATTGAAAATCGCATATAAATGTAAAACATCACACACATATATTGAACATCGCACATATATTGTAAAACATCGCACAAATATATTAAACATCGCGCAAATAATGAAAAACATCGCACACTTATATTGAACATCGCACATAAATGTAAAAGATGACAAACACATATTGAACATCCAACATATATATTGCAAAATATTGAATATTGCAACGTTTGACACGCCATAGAGATCGAGACCACTATAATAGAGGGCGCGCCACATAAATAGTGGTCTCGGCGACGCATCAACACGGATGCTGCCTAATTGAAGAAAAAGAACAACCTCGTTTCCGATGAATTACTCAAGAAATACAAAATGGATTAAATTGAAATTTCGTGCAATTAGATTTCACGATGTGTAGCATGAGTAGTTTGAATGGCGTGAGAAACCGTGGAGCTATGAATATAATATGATCGTAACAATCTAGTGTTTTAAACGTTAAAAATCCATGTTGACTTCCATTGGGATAGTATTTGTTGCAAATAAAATCCTGTATTGTTACTTTCATAATAGCTTGATGATTTGACGTTTTTTTTCTGAAATGAAATCTTTTGATGTCAAACATCATGACAAATGAGTGTACGAAAATTCATTTTAATGTAACGTGTATTTCTTGAGTTGTTGGCCTGAAATCGGGTTAGGTGGTGGAGATCAAGACCACTATAACAGAGGGCGCGCCACATAAATAGTGGTCTTAACAACGCATCAACACGGATGCTGCACAAGTGAAGAAAGAGAACAACCTCGTTTCCGATGAACTACTCAAGAAATACAAAATGGATTAAATTGAAATTTCGTGCAATTAGTTTTCACAATGTGTAGCATAAGTAGTTTGAATGGTGTGAGAAACCGTGGAGCTATAAAAACAATATGATCCCAACAATCTAGTGTTTTAAACGTTCAAAATCCATGTTGACTTACATTAGGATTTTATTTGTTGCAATTAAAATCCTGTATTGTTACGGTCATAATAGCTTGATAATTTGACGTTTTTATTATGAAATGAAATCTTTTGATGTCAAACATCGTGACAAATGAGTGTACGAAAATTCATTTTAATATAACGTGTATTCAGTGGCGTAGCCAGGAATTTTTTATGGGGGGGGGGGGCGTAACGACATTTCCTATTGGATGAATTTCCATTGTAAAGGGAGACGCATATGTACACATGTGAATCACTACCACATATCTTGCAGCATGTATACTGGCGCGAGACACGCTGCTGCTCTCAGTATATACTGCATAGAGACACATTTACCAGGGGGACACTTTCACCGTTGGGCAGGGGGACAGTTTTACCTGGAGGGGGACAAATCTACCTAGGTAAAAGTGTCCCCCCGGACACATTTACCGGGTCACGAGCCGGTAAATGTGTCCGGGGGACACATTTACCAGGGGGACAGAATTACCTGTCACACCGACTTCGTTTGGGCAGATCGTGATCCACGTTAGCCTTGACCAATGCTGTCAAGCCAAGCTTTTTCCCTGAACTGTCCGGCAGCCGTTGCTGTCAAGCCAAGCTTTCAGTTCCCTGAACTGTCCGGCAGCCGTTTTACCCTACTTGTCACGGCAACGTACGCCGCTCGCAGCCCCCGGCCCCTGGCGAGCTAGCTCCGCTTGCGAATTGCCTGTACTGCGCGCGCGATGTGCTCCTAACACAAATCCGCACACGGACGTACGTACACGTACATGTACAGAACCTGTACATGTACATGTACATGTACATGTACAGTATACAGTAACACTGCCGTGGGAGTCACACGGAAGCTCGACTGCGACTGCGTATTGGTTACTGCATGGGGTGCACGTAGTACGTACGTACGTAGGTACTGTATACGTACCGGCAAAGCGCGCGGCGTACGTGTGCCGTGACAAGTACAGTACAGGCAAGCGGAGCTAGCCAGGGGGCTGCTAGCGGCGTACGTTGCCGTGACAAGTAGGGTAAAACGGCTGCCGGACAGTTCAGGGAAAAAGCTTGGCTTGACAGCATTGGTCAAGGCTAGATCCACGTTGATAGAGGTCTTTACGGTGGTGACCAGTATTTGTGTAGCGCGCCCTCTTTTGGAAGAAATTGAAGTTTGTACAAACTGTAGAATGTACGGAAGTGCCCTGGCATTACACACTGTAGTTTTTGGTTTTTGATGTATTAATTTTTTTCTTCAACGGTTTCTGACGAATTTTTTACTTATTGTGTCGTACAACACAGTCAATATTATTATGGGACGCAATTTCAAATCAGTTCAATGTGTTTTTCTTGAGTTATCGTCTCCAGAAAGAGTGCTTTATTTTTGTTCCATTAAAAGTGACTCAAATTCGAATTGAAGTTTTCGCGATTAGTACACCTTAAATCATATTCATAATTTATTCTTCAATGGTTCCCGTCGATTTTCTGACATTTTGTGTCCCATATCTCGACCAATTATTAGACGTATTTTCAATTCAATGCCAGATGTTTTTCTTGAGTTATCTTCTCCAGAAAGAGTGCTTTTTGGTACTCAATTAAAAGTAACTTGAATTCAGATTGATTTTTTCGTGATTAATAAACTGTATTTTCTTTGAATCATATTAAATTTATTCTTCGAGTGTTCCCGTCGATTTTCGAAAAGTTTAAGTACTATATCTAGAACAATTATTGCGCAAAATTTCAATTCAGTGCAATGTGTTTTTCTTGAGTTATCGTTTCCGAAAAGGTATGTTGGCCTAACCGTCCATTATCCTTAATTTCAAAAGACCACCGGGCGAACAATTAGAGATATTAATGGGTACTTATATAGCGCTTTCATTTAACGCACTAAAAATTATGTTCAAAGGTGCTAGTCACTTACCACACTATACCGAAAACATTCAAACATTGTAATGAAAGCGTACATACAAAAATATTTAGTTTGTATACCGTACTTATATTTCAAGAGTTACATTTGACATAATTCCACAAAAAAAACCTTACAACACATCTTTTTAAAAGGTTTTGCAAACATTCGAAAATAACTTTCCAGTTTTATATCCCCTCCCCTCGGCAGGGTATGCTGGTTCCCGCCCCGCAATCAGTATCAATAATGTATGGACCGGGTGCCATTCTGCTCGAAAGTGGATCTGTTTGTGCCAAAAACAAAACAAACATTTCCGAGGTTTGCCATACAAGTTACCAATTTATTAATTTATATAACAAAATCGAATTTGTCAAAGTTCACAGGGAATGCAACTTTAATACTGTTTTTTTTTTCTTTTCATGTTTGCTGCCAGCTTGAATAGCACTTCATTCCCAGATATGTCCTTCGTGGAACTTCTCAGGTAGGCTCTGCTTGTATATGTATTTATTTGTTTATTTATGTATTTATTAACCACGTCAAACAGAGGAAAGCCGCCAATTAGACGAATTGGATCAAAATGCAGGGTGTGAAACAGCCTTGCCAATTTTGCCTCCCGATGCAGTAGCATGCAGCATAAGCATACTCGCGACTGTCCTTTTACACAGAAGAATCCTTCAGTTCCGCTTACACAGAGTTGATAGGACCATCACTATCACTATCCTCCTGCACGGCAGCACAAGCAAAGCCCTGTGTTTCTTGGCCTTGTTCTTCGTCGTCTTGGATGTCATACCCCTGGCCTGCTTGCATCATTCTCAGTCCCATTGGGAAGCTTGAGTACTTTCGATAATGCTTCCTTGGCCACACAATCAAGATGATGAGGACGATCACTGCTACTGCTAGGACCGATGTCATCACAGTGGAAGCCACAGCGACTGGACAAGTGCTTGTCATTTTATTGTCAGTCACGGGACAAGTGCAAGGTGGTTGCTTGAAGGGTTTTTCTTTGGGTAACTCTGTGGACCTGCTACTCCCAGTTGTCTCTTCCCGCTGCACCCATGTGGAAGTGACACTCGTTGTTGTCTGTTCCCGGTAGTTTACTTCAACCCTCGCGGTGGTATTACCGGACAGTCCAGACGGCACACTGACAATGCAGACCAATTCAAGATTCTCCATCACTGCTATCTCCAATGTTTGCCCATCCTCAGACACTATGTACCTCTCTGTCGGTAGGGTGTGTCCAGTTTCAGTGTCGATTACTTTCCAACTGTAGTTGGCGATATTAGGCAAGCCCTCCCCATTACATTGGAAAGATGTAGAAGTCCCCTCTTCAACTCTAGATACTGCAGGTAGGATGGTGGCAGTCGGTAAGATTCCCTGCAGCATCGCAGAGCAGTTACGCGGCTCATCCAAGGCAGGTGTGGTCATGATGCAAGTGAAAATCACACCATTGTCCTGAGCTTTTAACTGATATCGATGACGAATTGAATTAGTCACAGGACCTACCAACTGTTCATTCTCCTTGTAATATGTGATGTTTGGAGCAGGTTTTCCACCTTGAACATTACAACTCAGATCCACATTGTCTCCCACAGCCCCTGATGCAGGTTCTACACTACACCATGGTGACTGTGGGCTTGGTGCAACCAACAAGATAAGCTTAGCCGTGCCAGCACTCTCCGGTAAAGCCCCGGGAGAACCATACAGACACGAATATGTCCCTTCATCGGTTTCCTGTACATTTGTGATCCTCAAAGTAAACTCGTCTTTGCTCTCGTCACCGATAATGGACAGACGTTGTTCCAGCTGTGGGGGTAGAGTGGGCATTGGATATAGCTGTCTATCAAAGCTAAGGTAACTCTCTTGATGATACCAGTAGATGGTAGAATTGCCTACGTTTGTAAAGTCACAGGTGAACTCGACAGTGTCTCCTTCCCGAACAAAGGCATCCTGCGGGCCTCTTTCTATTGTGGGTTCTGCCAGAGCAAGATGACAAGCAAAACTAAGGACGAAACACAGCAGAGCAGCAGACAGAACAAATCTATCAGTGGGAGACATGTTGGTAGCTTCAAGGCTTCGGACACTGGTTACCTTTCCACAAATTTAATCCAACTGAAGCCTTGTCACACTGTTCCTGTTGGCAGAGAACTGTGGTGTGATGGGAAATCTGGAGTATTTGGGAATATTCTCTTCTACAATTTTTTTTAATTTCCGTCGAGGAAACTGTGCAGTCAACTATCACGTGATGACACTTTTGTCGGACTGGCTTAAAATAGATATGTTTCGGAATTGCTTTCTGACTTCTTAGCACATCCTTTGAGGGACTCTTGATATCATTTACGCCATTAGACAGAAAAGAAATCCTGTTTACAAACTCGGACATTTTTAATGATCATATTGTTCAAACTCAAAAAAATGATGGTATATAAAACAATTCTGCTGTGATGTGGTGCATGGGTTTTGTATGCCCTCATAATGCGGTGTCATTGCCACCCATTGGTCATAATAATGCCATGGTGTAAAAGACGTATACCATGTTCTTTCACAGGGATGGGTTTGCTCAGCTTCAATCAGTTCCAATTGTCACTTTTGTGTTTACTTAAATCGTTTATATACAGATGTTATTTATTTAACTTGTATAATAAGTGCTTACTTTGGTCATATAAAAATACACATTGTGTATGTACATTTTTGAGTACAATGTACTTCTGTCCCAATTCAACCCATGATCAGAATAACGCATGACCTTCCACTTTCCTGTTTCCGTTTACTTCCTTTGTCGGGCTTTACCTACTGGGTGATCACTAGGTGTTATTTTGCCCTTTTTGCAACATTCACGTGCTAAGCACGTGAATTTCTGCTAACAGAGCCACGATCCAGAGCATACTAGGCAATGCGATTTCACAGGTGCTACGCGTCAAGACCGATCACTAGACGAATTTCAACTTAATTCAATTCAATATTACATTATTGCCATACTGAAACAATAACATAACAGAAAGCAAAATACAACATTGTGGAGGCACAATCCTAAGTAAGCCAAGGCTTGTAGCGGAGTGCCTTTAGAAGAAAAAACAAAGACATTAAATAATCAAATAGTTAATTAAGTCAAAGACAAACAACTGCTATTTCTCGGGTTATTGATCAAATGACGAGTATTATTTTTCCACGAATTTTGGCTTTCATTCGGATTGTAGTTTTCGCGTTTAAAACACTATATTGTTTCGATCATATTTTGTTTGACGGTTTCTCATGAAATTAAATCTCCTTGCAATTTAATACATCTTGTATTTCTTGAGTCATTGACAAAATGAGTGTGTGAGTAATATGCCCTTGCAAAATAGTGAATCCAACGAACTTCTAACTCGATAAAACAGGTATTTCTTCCTTTGCTAGAGGAATGTGTTTTGTTTTGAAATGAAAATTTAGGATTGTATTTTTTTTTTTCGTTTTTAAAACACTACGGTGTGTTGTTTTAAATCATTCCCATGAAGATTGACTTTCATTGGGAATTTATGTTTGCGTTTAAACATTAATTTCGGTCATATTACTACAATTCGAAAGAGAGTCAATTTTCATGGAACACATCCCTCGTGCAAAGGAAGAAATGACCGTTTAACTCAAGAAATACAAGATGTGCTAAATTGAAATTTTGGTAATCGTGTGGTTTAGGGCCCCGTTCCATGTAAGAGACCGAAGACACTTTTATGTTTTTGGACTTAATGCGTAAACATTTGGTTGGCTATTACGCAAGCAGGGAAAGTCACTTTATGTGTTTAGAATCATGTCAGTTCGCTTAGATACCACATTGAAAATCGGCTAGCTTAATTTTGTGGAAAGACGGCAGGGTAATGATTTATAAACAGAACCTGTAAAACATAAGAGGTGTCCTAAACTACACGATAACTGAAATTTCGTCCAGTGATGTTTCAAAATGTGTAACAGACGGTTTTCCCAGTACGTTTTTGAAATGCGATGTTTGTTCCTTTACATGCATTTTATAAATACACATGTAATTTTATGTAATTTTTCTGGGGGCTTCTTTCCAGAACTTGACACAAAGACTAATGTACCCTGGTTAAGTATTGCAAAAAGTAAGAAAAAGTTTCGATGTTGATGTAAATTCACTCTTAATTTGGCAACACATAAGGACTCCCTCTAAATTTGTAATGTTTGAAAAAGAAAACAAAGACAATTGGGCTATGCAGTGTTACGACCAGATGTTGTTTATTTTCATTGTTTCTGTCAATTGAAATGAATTGCAATAAATATATTACGGTGGCTAATAGAAAACAACGTTACTGGTTTCACAATCCGTGTATTGACTAAAAAACACACACAAATCGAAATGTGCTGTAGTGAAATGAAGAGTAAAATTCCAAAAAGGACGCAGACCAGAAAATAGGTCCACAGTTGCCTGTACGCCAGCCAATCACAATTTGTATGAACTAAACTTGTCTCTGAACTAATTTCTGAGAAATTTGGGATGAAATTAAACCTAAAAGTTGCTCTATTTTGCAATGGAGTATATTTTCAAAATGCTGACGGCTTCAGGACTGCTTTTAGGAATACTCATCTTTGGAGGGGGAAAATCACTTCAAAGTCTTTGGTAAAACAAAAAGGAACTTTTAGCAAATGCGAAACAGGGTTAATCAAGCTTTAAAGCCACATAGGATCACATTTGCTTTTCATCATGTGCACTGTGTTGGTTTGCAATAGTAACATCACTTACATCTAAAGAAAAAATCAAAACCTAACCTGCTGAAGTTTTAACTCAGATATAACAGTTTTTGAGAAAACAGAAAAACACAACTTTGTCCATAAAGGCACTCTGTATTTCCAAAGATCAGTCAATTGACTGATTTTTGGAAATCCCCTTCATTTCTTGTTTTCTTCTTAATGACAGCAAGCCAGACGGAATAATTTCACGGGGTGTTTAGTTCCAGTACGATTTTGGGGTCTACCTAATGTTTCCCAATACCTATGTTCCCCAAAGTCCTTAGGGTTAGAGTTATGTTAGGGTTAGGTTAGGCAAAATAGGTTTTGGGGAATATACGTATGCGCCCACGATTTTAATCCAATTAAGCTTTTTGATAATTCGGTAGGTTACTTAGGGGATTAATGCAAATGATCCTATATGCACTTAAAGGGAATGTACAATGTACATCATTGGCTTTCGCTGTAAGTTTCAGAAATGAACTAGTTCAGGGGTTATTATAATAGATCAAATAATGTTACACTGACATGTTTGAAGTTTTGTGTCCGAATATGCTCGAAAAACCAAGAAACACAAAACTGTTCAAATAGTCTGGTTCCCTGACTCCACTAAAGATGAAATGGCTCAATGTATAGATGCCGACAAATTGTAAGGTAAGGGAACCAGTCTAGATGGCCTGCACCCGTTCATGAACATGTAATCAGTAGCAAACACAATTTGAACTAAAACGAATGGTAAATATGGAGCAGTAGTTGAACAATAGTTAGGTTTTTCCAACGGTGGTCGGCCGACCACCGTTGGAAATGTATACAAAAATACCCTTTTCTTGAAAATGACTTCACACCAGGTGCCATAATTTTACAGAATGCTTGTGACTGTCATTTACCAACATCCTAGTAAGGTATTTCGTAAAAACTTGGTAGCTGTATTTTTCGATGTTTGCAAATGTTGTATTTTCCCTTTAACGAACAACACAGTCGTGTTTGTACATTTTTTTGAATATTCAATAGGCAAAAGCTATTCGTATCACATTCAGTTGATGATCGAGTGTTCGGCATATTCAGAAGCCCTAGTTGCATTTCAATATTATATTATTTTTTGGCCATCACTTTATACTCGGTTGTCCGAGGGCTCACAAAAAAAATATTCAAAAGGGTGGGACTCGAACCCATGACCTCCTATAAATAGTTTGGATGGGTACCGCTTGTTTTATTAGATTCGAACCAGCCAGCCAAACCCGGCAAGCTCGGTGGTGGCGTTTGGATTCATAAGGTTCACTGTACTGTCAAGTTGTTCAAAGTTCAATCTTCCTAAAGTCGGTTACTTTGTAAATTATTTCTATAAAACTGGTGAGGCCTAGTTCAAATTGAACTCAGTTTATGCAGCTTTTAAATTCTGCATTTCACGGCCTAAAAAAGAAGAACTTGCATAGGATTGAACATGGAAATTAACCGAGGTCGAAATTCAAATTCCACTCCAGATAATTTCATTCTTGACTATATCAATTAAAAGTGAGTGTTTGTCTTTGTGGTTTATTGAAATGATTAAAAACATATTCTCAAAACCAAAAAAAAAAAAAAGGTTTATCAGGCCAAAAAAAAAAAGTCTCTGGTTTCTGGTATGCGCGCGCGTCGCCGTAGCCATGCGCGTCAGCAAAATGAAAAAGTTTTTTTTCAATGAAAGATGATGTCTCAAAACCGCCAAACTCACTGGTTTGACTGGAATCCTGCTGCTGCACAATTTTAACGTGTTTTTAGTTCGGGTTATGGTCGAGAATAAGCTTTATGTGGCCTCTCTGGACTCCCATATATTTGCACTAAGTTTAGTCGGGCACCATTTGCAGTCATCAGCCGACATTTGAAGCAAAAAAATCAGGTAAAAAAAAAAAAGCCGCATCGCCGCACCACTTTTTGGGCAAGCTCCATACCAGAAACCGGAGACTTTTTTTTTTTGGCCTCACCAAAGTTTCGATAATTTTAATCACCATACAAATTTCATATCACACAGTGTTATCATACATTGTAAATTGTACACTATAACTCAGCACGTGTACATTGTACACGTACACATCATGGCGTAGGTGCATGCGTTGCACACAACATACATTATACCAGTATTTACAGTGAAATCTGTACAGAATAACTACAAGTTACAACTCTTACCTACAAAAATAGATTTGAGCAAGGGAATACAGCCGACATTGCACAGATAAATGCATCAAAAGACCAGAAATTAAAGGGCAATGCAATGAATTTTTTTTAATGCAATTCTCGAAAATGCACCTTTGTGTCCCATCTATTTTTCTATTTTGGTTTTGCCATTTTGAAGGGTATTTTGGTGCCTTTTTGGATGTTGTATATTCCCTTTTACACAGAAGTGCATTTTTCGATGAAATTAACCAAAAAGGGATGTCAAACAGTTTCCATACATTTAAGAGTAAAAAGTTGCACAAAATGTGTTTCTAAGAAAAAGTCATCACATGGCCCCTTTAAGAGCATTAGGTACATAAACAATTTACAAAATATCTCTCTTGTCTCCTCAATGTCTGTATTTACATGTATATGTATTTTTACATGCATGTGTACAACACCCTCTTTATCACGAGAAACAAGGTTTTTCAAACCTTGAAAATTTCTCTGGCTTTGGTCACATCTCTTGTATCAGAATAATTTCAGAGCCTTTCAACTTAAGTTTAAATGAAAATACTCTACAAATTTGCCTATTATAAGATTTAACGTATCAAAGCGGATTAAAGATATAGTCCATCATTTGTAATTTATGCATTTTGTTCGTTTGAAGCAACAAAAGTGTTCAAAATCAAATGAAGGATACTGAACAACTAAACTGATGAAGTTTCAGCTCAGCTTCAGCTGTATATTCCGAGAAAAACAGAATTCTAGGATCTCAATTTCAAATCAAAAGTTACTGAATCATGTTTTGAATTGTTTTGAATTACAGCTATACGCGACGTCGCGCACTGATCCGACGAATTATAGCAACCGCGCACATGTGTGCGTCGTGCCAATGCTTGCGCGCGCTTCGCGGAATAACAAAACTAACTACTAATTTAAATTTTCCTACGGTGCGTCTTAAGACACACCGTTGGAAAGGCCTTCTTTCGTTGTTACTTCAAAATGACAGCTTGCCAGAAAGAATAATTTCACAGGGAGTTTAGTTCCCTTACTATCTTTCAACCAAGTTTGTTCTTCAACAATAATTACGCCAGTTACTTTTCGGATGGCTGCAAATGATGGACTATAGCTTTAAGAATATAGACTCAGTGCACACGTGTATAGACTCAGTGCACACTGGGAAACATAAGCTTGGCGCTCACGCGAGCACTCTACTGGATTGTGCACATAAATAAAACAAATCGTGCGTGCTTGGCGCCATACGCACGTGAACTAGTAGTTGTATACAGTGTATCCCTTCCTTAGGAGCCTGCGCAGTGTCAAAAAACGCCATTTACTGTAAGCCATAAAACCGTAAGTTGGCTTAAAAATCACCTGGACACAAAGCCAAGATTCTGAAAATCCCCTGCTTTGTTTCTTGGTAAAATGTCAAGTTTAAATTTCTATGTTAAAGAGTAAATATTGGCTTTTTTTTCAGCCAAGTACATCATGAAAAGTAACTTAGAAAAGTAACTTAGAAAAGTAACTTAGAAAAGTTAACTCCTCTTTCTCTTCAATCGACTGAACCGCTTCATTTTGGCACCAGACTATTTAAGCAAGGCTGTTGGAAATACCTGGGATATAGTGTTGCGGCGAGTCCGGGTCCATGTCCCGAGGAAATAACAGCAAATTGGCCAACATTGTTGACATTCTGCCACTCTGGCATCCAAATGAAATTGGACCGTCCTGGCAATAAAGTGTCAGTGCAATACTACGCGTTGGCTGTCACTACACCAGCGCCCTCTTGTGTCCAGATGCAGAGGTCAACACACTTTCTTCTCCCACTTGAAAGACAGATGTCTCTCCCCTTCGTCTAGACCGACTCGTATTCTTTCTGCCATTTGATGTATTTGTCCTTGAGGAGTTTGGCTGACGGCTTAGTGTGTGCCAGGGCGGCAATGACGTCATCAGTGCTGATGGGGTCGATGCTAAACTCGGGGACTTTTTCCTCTGAAATTTAATGGAAAGAATGAAAAAAAGAAGATATAATTCAATAATTCCTTTTCAGTATAATATTTGTGATCCAACTCTTCACTTTGCAAGCAGACTGGCTCCCAATTCGTGCATTATCGATACTGATTGTGGGGGGCGGGAACCAGCCCAACCCGCAAGAATGGGAATAATCGTCTGGCAGCCAATAATTCCAAATTGTAAAGTAACAATTCAATGACTAAACATTGGCCGAGTTTTTCAGTCAATGCCTCGTTCAAAAGTGAATAACGTTTTTATTGTTGGAAAATAGCAATTTAGAAAAGGAAACTTTTTTGTATATTCCGATAAAAAAATAATCTTAGATCTCGATTTCAATTTTAAACGTTGCCAAGTCATTGTTGAATTGCGCCCAAAATCAGCGTCTGGGACACGTTCTCATTAAGCCGATTGCAGCTACATGATATCACGCTCTGAACCGACGAATTATAGCAACCACGTGCGCGTGTGCGTCGTGGCAACGCTTGCTCACACCCATTCACGGCTTCGCCAAATTAAAAATGAACTACTAACGGAAATTTCCAAAATACGTCATTAGATGCATCTTTGAAAATTACCTTCTTTTATTGTTTTCCTCAAAATGCCAGCATGCCAGAACGAAAAATTTCACAGGGAGTGTAGTGTCATTACTATCTTTAAACCAAGTATGCTTTTCAACAATATTTTTGTCAGTTACTTTTTGGATAGCTGCACGATCTACTCTACCTTTAAACTTGAAAATAGCATGAGGAATGCAAATGTACAATAAAAAATACTGTTTTACGTGCCTACAGTGTGTTTTGTCATCAAGAAAAGTTATTGGTGCATTTGTTAGTATCCTGCGATGATTAAGGAAAGACACACAACATTAAACAAAACTTTGTTAAAAAATGTTCCGTGTGGTCTTGGTTCAAGACGCTAGTGATTGACAATGAATCTGTTCACTCGAGCTCCAGGTACAGTTTGTTCCACAGTAGCAGCACACTATGGATCACAACGGCTTGGACCAAGACTAGTTTACATGAAGTTTCTAAAGACAACATCAAATTTACTTTTGAAAAACACACTCGAAAGTTCACTGGCCTCTTCTCGATGAAAAAAAAAAATTAGGAGTTTTGTGCACTCAAATCAGCAAAATGAACGACAAAATGTGCATAATATGAACAAAATCATACAAGCTACTCACTTTTCCAATACAAATTATTATCAGTATTATCTAAATGCAAAACAAAAACAAAAGCAAAAAGAAATTAATACCAGGATAATTATAAAAAAAAAGTAATACAAGAATTGTCCACAAGTTTTTTTTCTGGTTTTAAAGTTTTGGTTAAACTGATTACATTCTGATGGTTGTAGTAGGTCTGTTGTTATTGTTTTTGTCAATGTTGTTATTGTTGTTTACATACCTACGGTACTAGACTCCAGGATGTCGAAGATCTTTCTGACTGGTCTCATGGCAGCCTCTTTGCAGACGAGTCTCAAATCCGAGCCAGAATAACCCTCCGTTAACTGTCATGGTAAAAAAAACCAAAAGACAACCAGTGTTAAAGGGAAGATACAACATTTGCAAACATCAAAGAACGAAGAGATCAAATTATCACGAAATACCTTACTGAATTGCTAGGGATTGACAGTCTAAAGCATCCTGTAAAATCGTGGCTCCTGGTGTGCTGACATTTTCAAAAACAGCTCCTACTTTTTTATATTTTGTTATTCCGCATTTTCTTCGCAATAGATTACACACCTGTGAAGGGGTACAAACCTGCTAGAGTGATTCTTTGACCTTACAATTCCCCAAAGTCTTTACGTTTCTCCGTTTCATCTTAAGTGGGGTCGGGGAACCAGACTACAAGAAAATGATTGGTTTTCTTGGTTTTTCCAGCATAAACAAGCCCAAAACGTGAAACAAGTCAGTTTAACAATATTTGCTATAACATACTAATCCTCCAAATCCATTTATTTCTGAAAATTGCAGCAAAAGCAAATGTTGTACATTCCCTTTAATACTAGGAATCACAATTCATTACGAATCTTTCAAAAAATTTAGGTTCAATTTTTTTTTTACACAGGATTAAATCTTACCAATTGATTCAACAAAGATTTCAACTCCATTATTACCAAAACTTTAATAAACACCATATTGTCATTTTCCATTCACTATGACAAACAGTTTTTGGACTATTAACATTTGCGTGCGACGATCGATATGGGCCGCTAGAGTATTTTATAAATCTGTCAAGAAAGTAAACCTTCTAGAAGGATGGGAACAATTAACCGCCATCGACAAAAAAAGTTACCTTCGACAACAACAAAATGGCAACTGACATTTAAAGAACCGTAACTTTACAATAAAATAACGTGGCAAAAATCTATTCAAATATTGGATTAATGATCGAATATTCAAATATTCGGTACAGTGGAACATTGCTATACCGAACACCGCTATACCAAACATTCGGCTATACCGAACATCATCCCTGGCTCCCGAATTCTGTGTACAAATCGTACTGAACACTGTTGTTGAAAAATGTCAACAGAAGAGCGACTAGTGGTTATTATTTTCCGAAGGAATAGAAGGGAAACGCTTCCCACTGCTGTAGGTAGTAAGCTCAAAAACTGTGTAATAACATGATTCAATAGTCGGCACATGTTCAAGTCGTCTTTCAGTACCAGGGCGTGCAGGGTGAAGTTCTGAAGAGCGCTATTTATTGAAAAGTGAGTACTAGAGCACCGGCAGCTTAAAATCGCTATACCGAATGATCTATATTACGAACAAGTTCTGTGGATCCTGCGATGTTTGTCATAGCGGCGTTGCACTGTATATTCGGGACAGCCCTAAAATTGGAATAATCAATAAAAAATTTTTAAAAATGCACAGCACTATCTACCTGAGCCAGGTATTCGTAGTCAATATCCGTCTTGATTTCCAAGGCACAGTCGGGGTTGATGACCTCGGGTAAATGGAACTCGATCATCTTCCTCCGTGCTTCTAAGACGGGGAGATCCACCAGTATTCTCTTCTCTAATCGCCGCAGCATGGCGTGGTCCAATTCCCTGTTCAAGGTAATGAATACTCTTTGCATTTGTCGTAATTTTATGAAATGGATATTAATTTAAAGCAGACACCGTTCATTAAACAAATGGTTCAAGCATTACAAGACTGCAACATACCATGGGAGATTGGAGGCAGCTAAAAGAAAGACCAGATCGTCGGATTTTGACAGGCCGTCCATCTGCACTAGCAGCTCTGTCTTCATGCGTCTGCTGCCCTCGTGCTCTCTGGAGAAAAAAACCCCAAAGGGTTAGTATAGACCAATGGGGAAGGGGGCAATCGACCAATCCAATATAGGTCCCGCCCACTTTATGTGGGCAATTAAAGTTGCATTCCCTGTGCTCTTCAAAAACTAAAAAATTTTCTCCTCACAAATTTTCAATTTGTACATTAGGTTAAATAAAAGCCAAATTATCGTCTGACATTTGAATTTTGATGTCCAGTTATCCATATCTCAATAACTATAAAACATCGGTATATTTTTCACATTCGCCATATCATTCGAAAGTGAATAACTTTGACATTGCTAGGAAAATAAAGAAATATTTGAGTTGAAACTTGAAACTTCTGAAATGACATGAGATTTTCTTTCAGGCCGACTGTCTGCAATAGGGGAATGAAAGTTTGGGGATAAAACCAATGAAAACATTTGATCTATGGATTTACCGTAAGAACAGACAGCATGGTTCAATCCAGTTCCTACTGGTTCATGCTGGTTCATACTGGTTCAGGCCAGTACAAGCAAGCCTGATCTCTCCAGACTTTTTCAATCAATCAATGTGTAAACCAACATCCATATTCAACTGGGAAATAATTTTAAGTTTCTGGATGAGCTATTCCTTTTGGCTGGTCTAAAGACTGCGGAAAGGGGATAATTTCTTCTTGGCAAGCTCTAAATATCATGCGGTGAGTATGGAAATCCACTTTCTCCAGTGACATAAACATTTGTTTCTTTACGACAGGGGTGGAATCTGTGGTGTTGTATGGAAAGTGAGAGTAGGGCCTTGGCTGCCTCCTTGGAGGGATTCTTGAATGGCACATACACAAGACTGCTTCACGCTGTGCTCATTGTCAGCTGGAGAGATCACTCCACAAAATAATGAAATCCTTTATGGGAATCTTCCAAGAGACAGTGACTGATAAGATTGCTCATCGGAGACTTGGGCTAGCCGGCCACTGCCCCAGACATCCCAAACTTCCAGCCAGCCAGCTTGTCTTTTGAGGGCCCACATATGGTTATAGAGGACTTGGCTGCCCCCTGCTCCACCTTTGTTGAGACTCTGCGGAAGGACGTGGGTGTGGCCGACACATCAGAGCTTGCGTCCTGCCTTCTGGACAGGGAAGATCTGCAGTCCAGACGTAGAGCTCGGTCAAGGCCGCCATGATTAAAGAGGTTGTGGAATGCTCAAAGACATTTCCGTCATTTTTCGGGTATATGTCGTGACGTAATAAACAGGACTCCCGATGCAGCGTAGTATAAACGCTGCATCGGGAGTCCTGCTTATTACGTCACGATTTACTATGTTTTGTTTGCTGCCCCCAACGACGACTTTTACACAAATTGCACGTTCGGGTCGAAACAGGACCTGAAAAACAGCTCTCAAAAGTACCTTTTGTACTCATTTCATGACAGACACAATAGTCGTTTTTATTTCATCACACCTTAGGCTACATATACCCCAAAAATAACGGAAATGTCTTCGAGCATTCCACAACCTCTTTAATTGATTTAGGATTAGAAAAAAAGAAAGAAAATCACAATCATAATTACCCTCCTGGTGTAGATCCACGCTGGCTCATGACTGATTCCAATTCATCCAGGAATATCGTCGATGGAGCGTGGAATCTCGCTAACTCAAATAGTACCTTTGAGAAGAAATAAAGTTATGTTATGATATTTACTGTAACACATTGATTAAAAAAAAACAGTGAAAGAAACAACGCAACAGAAAAATGAAGATGGTGATAATGCTGCATGCACAAAACCCAAAATTACCAAATCTAGGGTCATAACAATAAAAAGATTGTTTAACCAGTTCACATTGGATGACCTGTATACACACAAAGGTTTTGCGGCATTTGGAATGGATAATGGATAAACACGCAATGAGCGAGGCTGGAAATATCGTCAGCAACCCGCTCGCAGCGAGCGAGGCCTGAAATATCAGCGTGTGTTTCCCGCAGACGACAGCTTGAACCTGTCTGGCATCGAGGTTTGTGAAAACAGTTCTGTGCCTGGGTTCCGTCACTGTCAAAATAATCCCGGCGCGAAGTGGTTAAGGGCCGGTTCATACTCAGCGCAATAATGAAAATGGAACACAAATTGTTGACATCAAGGTAACTTTTTGCACTGCGAATTTGAAAAAAAATGCAAACATTTCAAACCCTAGCAAATTTCACAGTGAATGTTTCATGACATCAAAGTTGCAGTCGCATTCATGTGAAGTACGAACTGGCTTTCGGACTGCAGAAGTCATTTTTTACCTCTAAAAAAAGCATGACAGAACTTAAAAAAAAAAGGCAGTTAGGGAGGTCCCGAAACATCTTGAGAAAGTACTAATGAAAAAACCAAAGTTGTTGGGGATTTTAGGCAAGGTCTTACCCTGACTAACTTCTCCGAGTCTCCCCGCCACTTGCTGACAATACTCGAGGCAGAGATGTTGAAAAACGTAGTGTTGCACTCAGTGGCTACAGCCTTGGCTAGGAGCGTCTTGCCAGTACCTGGCGGGCCGTAGAGCAACAGTCCCTTCCAGGGGGATAGGATACCAGTGAACAGCTGGGGATACTGTACAATGTAAAGACAATGCACCGGTAAATTGAAAGATGCACGTCATTCCATAGAGGTGTAGCCCCTTCCAGGGGGACATACTGCAGAAATCAACTGGGGATACTACAATTGTAAAGACAGTGCACTGGTGAAATGCCATGGTGTATTAAGGATGCCCGTCATTTCATAGGGGTGTAGCCCCTACCAGGGGATGGGATGCCACTAACAGCTGGAAATACTGGTAGAATATTAAGTCAATGGACTTGTGAATTGAAAGATTCAATACTGGAGTTTGCCCTTCGCCGGCGTATTTTTATAAACACTGTATACTCAGTGTTGTCCCGAGGGCATGTGCACAAAAATTCACAACCTAATTTGCAGGGACTCGAACCCACGACCTCCTGCTTACTAGTGCAGACGTTTAACCACTGAGCTTGCCAGGGTCGGCTGGCTGTTTCAAATCTAATATAGCAGCGGGAACTGCAAGCAAACTATTCATAAGACGGAATTTGCGACGGGTGATGTAAATTCAATATTGGTTTTTGCCCTTAGCCAATTTTTTTTTATAACCCAGAAAACTCAGTGTTGTCTCGAGTGATTGTTAAAAAAAATTCACAAACTCCTGTGAAAAAAAGTACTATATTTGCATTAAAATGACCCCTCCCCGATGCACAATTCAATATTATGAAAATTATTGAAAGAGTCTTAACATTTTCTGAGAGTGGTTCGGGTTCTGTTCTGTTTTTCCCCTTTTTTCACTACTTCTGTTAAATATTTTTTTATATATCAGTTCAAAAATCTAGGGGAGAAGACATCCATTTTCCAGATGCCCATTTACACACATATATCTCCATATATATCTCCCCTTTTTAACCAGTTACACTGGCTTCCAGTTGCACAACGCTTTCAATTCCGTACTATGGTCCACACTTACAAATCTCTCAACTCCTCTGCCCCTGATTACCTCTCTTCTCTTCTCTCAATTCGAACCGGGTCTCACTCCCTTCGCTCTTCTCATGGGAAATCTCTTGTTGTCCAGAAAACAAATAAACTCGCAGGTGATCGGGCCTTCTCTATTGCTGCTCCCCGATTGTGGAATAGTCTACCCATCCCTATCAGAAACTCCGATACTGTGCCAACCTTCAAGAAGGCTCTCAAAACCCATTTTTTCCCCACACCATAGCTGGTCGTACGCCCTTGTTGTTTTTCTGTTGTTCTTTCTGTAGTTCTTCTTTCTTTGTTTCAGTGCCTTGTATCCTTTGGCAATTTGGCGCTCTACATGTTGTATAAATCCAGTTAATATTATTATTATTATCCTCCCAATATGCCAAGGCAGTATGCCCCTGTTACACCTTGATTTTGTTCACCTTGATTGGGTAGACCACAGCCTCTTTGACTAATCTCTTGGCACTGTCTAAGCCGATGATGTCATCCCATCTGACGTTGGGGTTGTGTAGATAGATGTCCTTGCTGATGCTCTGTGCTAACTCTCGCCACTCCAGGGTGTAGCCTGAGTAGCCCCCTAGGGGTTTCAATAGCCGATCCTGAGAGAAGAATGAGTCGGTATTAAAGCAGTGTCACTCGTACTCGTTGTCATACTCATAGTCGAGTACCTTTTTTTCGTACACGTACTTGTACTCATGAGAAGTACTCATACTCATATTCACAAGAAAAAAATTACCTGTATTTCGTAATTGTACACACAGCAAGTAGTTGTTCATTTGAATAGCTTGTGACTGGACTTGGGACTGGACGACTTGTGATTGACTTGTGATTGACTTGTAATTGATTTGTAATTGACTTGTGATTGACTTGTAATTGACTTGTAATTGACTTGTGATTGACTTGTGATGGACTTGTGATTGACTTGTGATGGACTTGTGATGGACTTGCGATTGACTTGCGATTGACTTGTGATGGACTTGTAATTGACTTGTGATGGACTTGCGATTGACTTGCGATTGACTTGTGATTGACTTGTAATAGACTAGTGATTGACTTGTGACTGACTTGTGATTGACTTGTGATGGACTTGTGATGGACTTGCGATTGACTTGCGATTGACTTGTGATGGACTTGTAATTGACTTGTGATTGACTTGTGATGGACTTGTGATGGACTTGCGATTGACTTGCGATTGACTTGTGATTGACTTGTAATAGACTAGTGATTGACTTGTGACTGACTTGTGACTGACTTGTGATTGACTTGTGATGGACTTGTGATTGACTTGTGATGGACTTGCGATTGACTTGCGATTGACTTGTGATGGACTTGTAATTGACTTGTGATTGACTTGTGATGGACTTGTGATGGACTTGCGATTGACTTGCGATTGACTTGTGATTGACTTGTAATAGACTAGTGATTGACTTGTGACTGACTTGTGACTGACTTGTGATTGACTTGTGCCTGACTTGTGATTGACTTGTGATGGACATGTGAATAGCTTGTGACTGGACTTGGAACTGGACGACTTGTGATGGACATGTGATTGACTTGTGATTTAATTGTGAATGACTTGTCATGGACTTGTGATTGACTTGTGATGGACATGTGATTGACTTGTCACGGACTTGGGATTGACTTGTCAAGGACTTGTGATGGACTTATGAATTGGGAATGGATGACTTGTAATAGACTTGTTATGGATGACTTGTAATGATTAAGGGGAAAATACAACACTTGCAAACATCAAAATATAAAACTACCAAATCATTTTGAAATACCTTGCTGGACTGTTAGTGAATGACAGTGTAAAGCATCCTGTAAAATCATGGCACCTGGTATACTGTCATTTTCAAGAAAAGTGGTATTTTTGTATCAATTTCCAACGCTGATCGGCCGACCAGCGTTGGAAAAAAACTGGCTTTTTTTCAAATACTGGCCCCAATTGACCATCGCACTTGTTTGCAATCGATTACACACCTATGAACGGGTACAAGCCAGCTAGACTGGTTCCCTGACCTTACAATTCCCCAATGTATGTAAACTGCTCTGTTTCTTCTTAAATGGAGTCAGGGAACCAGACTACAGGAAAATGATTATTTTTCTTGGTTTTTATAGCATTTTTGAACCCAAAACCTCAAAAAAGTCAGTATAACTATATTTGCTATATTTTTTCCAACCCCCCCAATTCCATCTATTTCTGTAAATTACAGCAAAAGCAATTGATGTATATTCCCTTTAACATGTGATGGAATTGTCATAGACAAGTGATTGACTTATGATGGACGTATGGAAATGTGATGGACTTGTGATGACTTGTGATGGACTTGTGATTGGTTTATGATGGATATGTGACGGCCTTGTGATTGACTTGAGAATGACTTGTGACGACTAGTGGACTTGTGATGGACATTTTAGTTGATGTGATGGACTTGACCATAACACTTGTTGTAAGCATAACATACTGAAGGATTGTTGTCCCCAATGTATTCCTGTGTGGCCCCCTTGATGGCATTGTTCAACATGGCCCGCATGTCGATGATGGGTCCCTTCTTGGGCGGCAATTTCCCCGAGCCGTTGGCGAGATTCGTCTCGCTAGATCTGTTGGCGACTGTCGACCCGGACACAGAGAGATCCGAGAGCGGGTCTCCGACTCCGTTGACTTGAGACGTCTGCCGAGGAACGAGAAACAGAAAAGAATTCTACGATTGGAACAAATTTTCATCTTGGACAACTGGAAAAAGTAACATGAAACATAAGCATGGCTCCCATTAGTCAGAACATTCTGAACGGAGACTTTCCCTTGATTAAAGGGCCCATGTAATGTAATTTTTTTCAATGCAATACTAACAAATGCAATCAAGTTCAAGCACCGCTCCAGTCAATTTCTTTGTTCAACTTTTCACAAAAAATTGTTGTAACTTTGTAAGCACCTAGTCAGTTTTCTTCTGTGGTTCATTGAAAATTGGAAAAAAGCGAGCTCTAGAATGCCCTATGTCTGAACATAACAAAATGAAATCCTGGAATGAAAAAGGCCCTGCTGTTCAAAAGGCAGAATCATGAGACTGACTTAGGCTACCTGTTTGGTTTCTCGGCTGGGCCTGCGGTCGATGGCCGGCTTTCTGTTGGGTGTGGCGGTGCTGGAGTTGGGCCGCCTCCTGCCCAGATGCGAGGGCGCTGAGGCCGGCCCATCTTTGGGGTCCGGGGCTTGGGGGTGGGGTATGCGGGGCAATGTAGGGGTACTTCCATTTCTGACACTGTAGAAATAAAACAAGTCAGGTGTGTTTACAAACACAAATGCCCCGCAACCGTGACTGTTCCCATGACATAACACCACTCTTTTAACATCAACTTACATGTACCTTGGTCACATGGAACATTCATTGACAGCATTAGTGTCTTCTGTAGGTTTTATATGAATTAATCCCTAATCCCTATAATCTCAGAATAAATACAAGATTTCTATTGTTTTAGCCACTGTGAACTTGACCCTTGACCTTTTTGCCCCAAATTCAATAGGCTTCTTAGGATTACCAAGAACAATCCACAAACCAAATTTGAAGTTCATATGTTAAGTATTTCTCAAGTTATCGCGCTGACAAGATTTCTATTGTTTTAGCCACTGTGAACTTGACACTTGACCTTTCGACCCCAAATGCAAAAGGCTTCTTAGGATTGCCAAGAACAATCCACAAACCAAATTTGAAGTTCACATGTAAAGTATTTCTCAAGTTATTGCGCTGACAAGATTTCTATTGTTTTAGCCACTGTGAACTTGACCTTTGGCCTTTTGGCCCCAAATGCAAAAGGCTTCTTAGGATTGCCAAAAACAATCCACAAACCAAATTTGAAGTTCACATGTAAAGTATTTCTCAAGTTATCGCGCTGACAAGATTTCTATTGTTTTAGCCACTGTGAACTTGACCTTTGGCCTTTTGGCCCCAAATGCGAAAGGCTTCTTAGGATTGCCAAAAAAAATCCACAAACCAAATTTGAAGTTCACATGTAAAGTATTTCTCAAGTTATCGCGCTGACAAGATTTCTATTGTTTTAGCCACTGTGAACTTGACCTTTGGCCTTTTGGCCCCAAATGCGAAAGGCTTCTTAGGATTACCAAGAACAATCCACAAACCAAATTTGAAGTTCATATGTTAAGTATTTCTCAAGTTATCGCGCTGACAAGATTTGTCCGGACACACACACCCACACACCCACCCACCCACACACACACCCACACCCATACTTGTTTCACATGACTAGTGTGGACTTTCCATTGCTTTCGTGTAGTTAAGAAAAACCAGTGAAAAAACTCATTTTTCTCAAACTGTGAAAACTCTTTCAACCCAATTTTTTTTTCTATGATTCCCTTTAGTGTTTCTCTTCATTCTGCTACAGATAAACCTAACCCAAAAATGCCTCTAAACCTGTTTTCCAGAAATGGGGAAACACTGTGTGGACGTGGGCAAGTCCACACAACGTCGGTGCTACCTACATTATGTGGACGTCTTTTGTTCGGAAGTCCACACTGCGTATGTAAGACAAGCTCACACCCACCCACCCACCCACCCACCCACCCACCCACGGAAGGACAAGGCGGAAACAGTATGCCCCTTCGGCTTCGCCGCGGGGCATAAAAAGAAAAGAAACATGGTCATTTTTAATACAAAAAGTTTCATTTGTTTCCATTGTATTGGCCCCTTTAATTACAGATCACTCGTTAACAAAATCTTCATGTAAATACTCACAATTTCTTTGTGCCTTTTTGAGGAGAGTTTCCTGGAGGGGGAGAAATAAGAGTGGGGGTTATTTTAACTGAAATTGTACAGAGAAGAAAACACAAGACACACAGAAAACACAAAAATAACATTTTTTAAAACAATTGAGCAAAAAATTACAACAATAACTCAAATTTTGCCCGTGGCAATTCCTGTGCCAATGTTTCAAATTTCCTTGGGATCTTTACGAAATAATTTTCCTAAAGCCCGGCGCACACGTCTCCAATTTTACCGGTTCACCAGATCATCGGGCCATTGTATAGAGGAATGCGCTGAAAATTCGGACTGATTCGGTCTATCGGATGAAATCAAACATGTTTGATTTTTCGCATCCTGTACACCGGACCCAATGTCACAGGAAACATGTGCAGGCAGCACTCCAATTTCACCACACGTGATATTTATGTTAACCAATCAGATTCACGAAGGAAGTCACATGATTCAAAGTTGACGGCTGCCAGTTTGTCATCATGTGACTGGTCATCGTGTGACCGATTATAGAATGAAATCGGGCATGTGTGTGAGTAACGTTGAGGTCTGATCACAACGTTGAAACAACTGGACCAGTGACGGTGTGATCCAGTGAACTGGCAAAATCGGAAAGGCATGCGCTGGGCTTTGCAATCACCTTACACCTTTTGGAAAAATGAAGAGGCTTTTTATGAATAAACACTCACCATCAGTACAGATCTTCTTTGTAACCTTAGGGTACCTCTGAAATTTGACGTAGTAATAAGATTCATATTCCTGTAAAAAGAAATCAGATGGGGAAAAAAAAAAAACGAAAGAAAGGTGATTTTAGATCAGCCAACACAATTCAGAAATCAAAAATCATGCCAATTTAATTACCAGTTTCCTGAAATAAGAAAGTCAGAGAAAATGGAGAATTTTTTTTATATTTAATGTACCATGTACAATGTCAAATCAAACCTACCCTGTCTCTCAACCCGAAACTAATGAGATTGAAGAAGATTCAAAACAGCTGAAGAAAATAAAAGTTGTGGCTATGGTTAAAAAATGTGGGACCGGTTCACGGCTCACGTCATAGGCCTATTTATAAACACTTCATAAATAAAAACATAGTGGCTATTGTTACGGCAGCCGTAATGCAGTTTTCAACTGCTATCGTTACGGCATTCCAAAAACACTATTGCAAATCTTATATCACATTTATAACTACCCGTTCAACCAGAGCGCTTCGGTTGACTACTATGCCGAAGGTTCCGGGATCGAATGCGTGCCGAGCATTTTTTTCCCAATTTTTGTTCTTTTAGTAGTTTTTTTTTTACTTTTATGTTTTAAATCAAATCGTTCTTTTTATTTACGTAGATTTTATTTTCTTCTTTGCATTCCGTGGCTTTGGGATTTAAAAAAAAAGGGAAACCATTCAGTTGATAGTCTGGTTCCAACAGCCAAAGATCCTGACGTTGAATACTATTAGGTCAGGGAACCAGACGGTTGATATAGATTCGCAATGGTGTTTTTGCAATGCCGTAACGAGAGCAGTTGAAAATTGCATTACGGCTGCCGTAACAATAGCCACTGGCCAAAATATATTAATCCATTCCTACCATTAATATCGTTTCCAGGTCCACATTGTCGCACACCTCGAAGCGGCTGAAGCTGAGATTACTCTCATGCTCCAGTGACTTGGCCGCCTCCGTGTAACCCTCCTGAACCAGGTGATGTAAGACTAGGATCAGGAGGTTCCTCTTGCGCTGTTCATTCTTCTGCTCGTCCTGTTTAAGTGTGGACAGACAAAAGAGAAAGAGTACCAATCAAAACCAATGCACGATCAAACATCGCTATCAGAATTCACAGACATAAATGACACAAATAAGCATGATAAGCCAACTGGCGAACAGCGCCGCTCATTACATGATGGCACACTGGCGCGAAAGAAACCAATGCATCGAAATGGGATTCCAAAAATTTGGGACTCTCAATACTGTGTATGAGAGTCCCAAAACTGCAATACAAGAAAATAGACTGGCGCCAGGAACAACCAGTCCAACACCGCTTCAGTACTGCATCAATCAACTGTGCCAAAAGAAACATGTGGCATGAACCGGGAACTAGTGTCTATTTACTACACATTACTCCATAGTTAGCCACCAGACTAATGACACTGAATGAAGAGGTCAGTTTTTTCAAATAGTTGGACCATGGTTGGACATGTACCAGTCTAGTCTTTAGCCTCATTTTGAAATCACTTGCTTCCCTCTTATATCCAAAATATTGAAGAAATTTTCGTCTGGTGCATTGTTGGGAAAGCAGTCGTGGAAAGCAGTCCAACGACTGCTTTCCACGACAACGCACCAGACGAAAATTGAACCCACTAGTGGTGCCTGAAAGCAGTGTGGTACCCACATACATCGCGCATTTTTTTTCCCGGTAATCATCACGTGATGCATTTCATTTGCATAATTAACTAAACAAGATGGACGACAGCCGTTGGAACTTGACGTTCTTATGGACAAGCCGCAGAAATTGTCAAAAATTTTCACATTTTAGTTTTTTGGTTCTGTTTCAAGTCGATCATTAGCTTCGTGAATGACTGCTGAATAGTGTGAGGTATGGCCATGGAATCATGGGTGGGATTATAGAGGTGAAAATGGACCATTTTGGGGAGGCCCTATTTTTAGGGTCTCTTACGACGACACTCTCACGCCGTGGTTATGTCTCCAGTGTTACATGTGAATTCCTGATGAGCTTGTTAAGGCAAAGCTGGAGTTACTCAACTGCTACACTCAGTATAGACCCGTGAACGTGGCTTGTAAACTACACCACGCTCTTGTACATGTTCGAACCAAGCGAAATCGTCCTTCCATGACAAAGACTGAACATTGCCTTACCGTGTGATAAGTATTCACATATCAAGCTTTCTTGAACATGTTGAAATCTGCTTTTACGCCAAATCTGGCATTAAAACGATATTTGAGGTAAAATCTGGCAAGATCTCGACGTCCTGCAACCTCCTCCGATCATGCATGTGATTTACCACGTGATAAATGCTGCAGCTAGATAATTTGATATCGCACTGACGCTCCGTGGACTCCTGATGTCCGGATCATAAGTGCGATTCCAAATTATTAGCTGCGTTTATCACGTGGTCTCGTTATTGGCCAATCAGACGCCGCCTATCATATGCGCCACTAGCCCCATAATGTGGCCAGTTTACTGGACTGCCTCCGTAAACATAGGCCACACGTCCACCATCTTGGAATCTGACTCGCCGAAATTTTGAAAGTGATTTCCACATTGCGACTTCAAACCCAGTTCATTTATGCTTTAAAAATACACTCACCCTCTTAATAACAAAATTAGAACCTGCTGCCAGTGTCAGTTGCCCAGCTGCTGCGTAATTTACGACATTTTCTGGATCCTTCTTGGCAACTTGGTCCAACCATGGAGCTATCTCCATGGTCCAACTGAACAATGCCCTCGCGCAGATCGTTCACGTCAATCACGCGTGCAGGATGCACGCCGCAGGCCCAGTGGTAGTCCGGTTCCCAGACCAAAAGATTCTGACTATTCCTAGGATCAGGAATAGTCAGAATCTATGGACGATGGTGGACGTGTGGCCTATGTTTACGGAGGCAGTCCAGTAAACTGGCCACATTATGGGGCTAATGCGCCACATGAAGCAGACGGGTAGCTCGGAGGGCTCCGATAATTTTGCACGCAAATGACCCTGGGTACTCGTCCAGGGTCATTTGTCAGGGTCACTTGTCAGGTTAAAATCTAATTTCTACATGTTCGTATGTGTCTTCATTGATGGCAAATTTCGTCGAAATGACACATCCTGAACACGCGGACAGGCAAATTTAGATTTCTAGGTGAGTACTCAACATCCATACGAAATTATGTATGGCGGATCAATGGCTATGTTTACGGAGGCAGTCCAGTAAACTGGCCACATTATGGGGCTAATGCGCCACATGAAGCAGACGGGTAGCTCGGACCCTGGGTACTCGTCCAGGGTCATTTGTCAGGGTCACTTGTCAGGTTAAAATCTAATTTCTACATGTTCGTATGGGTCTTCATTGATGGCAAATTTCGTCGAAATGACACATCCTGAACACGCGGACAGGCAAAGTTAGATTTCTAGGTGAGTACTCAACATCCATACGAAATTATGTATGGCGGATCAATTTCGCTAGGTTCGAAAATACACAACAGCGTGGCGTTGTATACAACGCCACGTTCACGGGTCTACACTCACTAGAGCTAACGCGTTGGCCGTTGCAAAATATAATAAGTTAAACACGAGTGCGTAGAAATAGGAGCGCGTAGCTTTAGGAGGTCTGACGATAATTGTATTTGTTCCAATGTCTGATAAATCATAAATGTCTGATTGATCATGCGTAAATACTGAAATACGGTAGCTTGCCACTGCACACGTACACTGGCACTTGATGTTCGGTTGAGTTCGAAACGCTGCCGATCGATGAGTTCAACTTGCACTGTCAATGACTGTCATGATTGTCAACTGTTTACGTCATTTTCTCCTTGCTACAACACCACTACTAACAGAAAACACAACTAAATGTGGCTTATTTTCAATGAGTACAATCTTACCGCTTCTCTTGCATGATTAGCCGTTTTAATTGCGCCATAACTGAGCGATTCCATGTCCACAATTTCACAAAATCATGAAAATATGCGTCCTCCGTTGCCTGGACTTTTGACGGTCTTGACCTCCTTGAGCTCGTTCGGTCATTTTCTAATATACATTTAATAATATTTTAAATGTTATTTTCACATTGCAAAAAAAACAAACAATAGTGGTGACTCAAATTCTCCAAAAGTATTTTAAAAATATATAATATGATTCAAAATTATTTAATAAAATATCGACATTCTGAAAGAGCCAAACATTGCGCATGCGCAATGACGCTGACGAGAGAAAAAAAATTGTGAATGAAACTGCAATCAAAAGATTTACACAAATGTCGTCGACGGCGAGATGGCGGATTTTGACGATTTAAAGGTGAAAGATAGCCTTAAAATTTGCGTGAACCGATTAGTGATATTTAAAAACAATTGTTCTATATTTTGGGTCTCGGGTAAATGGTGTAATTTGTTCGTAATCGCGGTTTATTTACGTGCTGACAAGATGACGTGCATTCAACTTCAACATGTTCAACATGTTCAACATGTTCAACATGCATGACATGATGAAGCTGTGAAGCTACGCCGCCAGCAGGCGATCGTGTAGTTACGGACCCCTGTTTAGTTCGATCAAATTAGAGTCAGTGGTGTTTTTCATCACTTAAAATGACCTTTTCAATATAAAGCAGACTTCTCTCAATTCTAATGTCTCTGTTTTTGTAATTTTGAACGCAGAACGGTTTGTTGGCGTAAAAATTACAATTTTCGTGTGTGGTTTACAATTTACAAATTACAGTTGGTGCCGTGCGAGTCAGCATGCCTTACGCGTTCATGGTATCGCGATGATTGCCATTTTATTTTCGTGTTGCGTTTTGTTGTAAATGTGGCGTCAATAACAATGCCACACTCCTGAGTTGTCTAGAAACATTCAAAATATAATTAGCTTCCTAAGTTCCTTGCGCCTGCTGCATCGAGCTGTATACTCCCCAGGGAGCTGAGATGGTATTTGGAATGTTTTTAATAATTGGCCCAATGATCAGGGGTAATAATAATGTAAAGCGCTTTGATCTTAGTTAAAAGTGCTTTTATAGGTATAAGAACCCGTTATTATTATTAGGCCAAAATAAAATAGTTCTGCTTCCGGTTTCCCTACCGAATGTCAGACAACTCGACCGTTGAGACAACTCGACCGTTGAGACAAGTCGACCGTTGAGACAAGTCGACCATTGAGACAACTCGACTCGGGACAACTCGACCGTTGAGACAGCTCGACTTAATGGAAATGTATACAGGTGGAGCGGAAAAAGTTGCATAAATATGTGGCAACACCGGTCCCGGGCACGGCACGGGCATACTCGATGCACAGAGGGCGCTCCGATCCGGTGGCCGTCGCGTCGGGCCTGCGCGCCCCTCCGCCCGCGAGGACTGGGCCCGGCCCGGCACGCGGGCACGTCGACCGGCGCGGCAAGTGGGCTTACAGGCCCGGCAAAAACGATGTCACCGTGCACGGTACGGCCACGTTGACCGACCGGGGATGGGATAAGTGGGCGCACAGGCCCGGCCAAAACGATGCCTCCGTGCACGGTACGGCCACGTTGACGGGGGATGCGCGCACAGCAATAGGCCCGGCAAAAATGAACGATGTGCACGGACAATCACGCTGCGCTATATCGGCTCTGTTACATGCAACAACAAAAACAAACATGTGTCATAACTCCCAAACGGCGATCAGCCGCCGTCAAAATCCCCGGTACTATCCCCAAAACTAGGCCCAAAAACATGCGAAGCGGCTTGTCTTTCCATTTATCACACATACGGTCGAGTTGTCTTCCCATTTATCACACATACGGTTGACTTGTCTCAACGGTCGAGTTGTCTCAACGGTCGAATTGTCCCGAGTCGAGTTGTCTCAACGGTCGACTTGTCTGACCCCCTCCCTTCCTACCCTGACAGCCCCTACCCTAATTTTTTTATGGGAAAAATGAGAAAAAGCACCCAAAACCATCAATTTCTACCAATTACCCTTGAGTCACGCAGACGCCTCCATATGATCGTACACCAAAAAAAATTGGCCAAAAAAAATATCCTTACCTACCTACCCTATTTTCGAATGCCATGTAATCGGAAACAGACCTATTTTTTTTTTTTCCTTATTATTATTACCTAAATAAATAAAAAAAATATGCCGGTAAAGAAGATAAGAATTAAAACAAAAAATGATAGGGGCCTAGCAAAAAGACTGACAGCAAAAAAGAATGGTGTATGGTACTTAACCATCCTTCCCCCTTCTTGGCTAGCACTAGGGGATTTTATATCCTGTATTGATAGACGAATTTCTTGCGTCTAGAATTTCACTTGCTCAAACAAAAATCTCTCCAAAAAGCAGCCCTGGCTGATCTATATTTCTTTCAAATTTGGGAACAAAGCTTTTTGGGCCCTCGGACCGGAATTTCTTTTGCAAATTCAGAGGTTTACTCACCAACATATGATTTCGAACACGTTGAAAACATATCGTATACTTCATATGCAGACCCTTTTTTTTCCTCATAAAAATTGCATCTCCCCAATTTCTATAATGTACATGTACATTGTATCTTGGTGAAATTTGCCTCTTAGTTTTCGTTGTAAAGCTGCCCAACGGCAACGGTTGTTTTAACCCTTACCCTACTAGACCCTCCAACGCATGCCAATATGTGCCTCAAGAAAATCTCCTATGTTTTTTGCATGGCCCTCCAATATCTGCCATGTCATTTCAAGGGTAACTGGACAGGCACTCCAATACATGCCACAGAGAACAATGAGAGTTCTCTGATAACAAAGTGAGTGCCCCCAGCTGGTCAGTATCAGGCACCCTCCAGGGCCTCCAACTCCTGCCAATTGGAGCCTTCACTGCTACATCAAAGTATCCTCCAATAAACTGCAGCTGGAGGGCATTGGCATAACCAACTGACATGCAGTAAACTACCCTCAGAGAGTAAGGGTTAATATGCAAGGCAAATTTCACAAAAAGTAAAAATTGGGGAGTTGCATTGTGTTTCAAAACAGGGCGCGCTTGAGTATCGTTTTATTTATAAAAAACATGTGTACGTGTTCTACATAACCCCTGAGGACAGACATACAAAGGGAGAAGAAAGGATCCATTTAGCTTCCTTGCGCCTAACAGGCAGCATCGAGCTGTATACTCCCCAGGGAGCTGAGATGGTATATGGAATGTTTAATTGGCCCAATGATTAGGGATAATAATAATGTAAAGCGCTTTGATCTTAGTTAAAAGCGCTATATAAGAACCCGTTATTATTATTATTATATTATTATCCATTCAGTCCTCAGGCGATGGGTCTTTTGTTCAAAACGGTCCTCTGTCGTAGGTTCGTGTGATTATTCTATGGAAGAGTGTTATATTAAGGGGGCAACGGGAAACACAAAGCATTGTCCTCGGGAGTATAGTAATTCAAGAGCGGGTGAACATGTTTGTATGTAAAATTGCAGTGCTGACAAGGAATTTCTTTGGTTAATTTTAATTGTTTGCAATTCCAGCACATGTTGATGAGTTTCCGAGTCTCCGAACTCCAAGTGCTCCTAGGGTATGCAGGCAGGAACAAGAGTGGCCGCAAGCACGACCTCCAGACCCGGGGCCTAGCCCTCCTCAAAAACGGCTGCAGCACCTCCGTCCAGATCAAAATCCGGGAACTCTACCGGCGCCGCTTTCCTAGAAGACTGATCAACCCGCCCCAGTTCATGCCGGGCATGTCCGATGGGGCCGGGTCGGGGGCCACAGGCACTCACACCCACCATAGCGTGAGCAGCAACCCCCCGCTCCCGTCCTACCCAACCGCTATGAATATGCATCAGTCGGTGCCCCACGAACTGTTAGGTGCCGCTTGCCAGCCGCAGCCGTTCCACCCGGACGTCAAGCTGAAGTCGTTACCCTTCTACGATGTGCTCGGGGAGCTTGTCAAACCAACGGGACTCAGTAAGTGTCAAAATATCTGAAGTGAAAAGTTTGTAGGAAGCACCTTGTCTGTTTGTGGCTATTTTATCGGGTTTGTATTTGCTCTGAGAACCAGTTAACTTCAAATTAAAGACATAACCTTGAGTGTGCTTATGTGCTACATACATTTACATCTTCACAAGAATGCCTGGCTTTAAAGGTAGGGTAGATCAATTGTCATTTGTGATTTTTTTTTTTCATTTGAAGCAACAAAAGTGCTAAAAATCTAAAGACGGGTGTTTAACAACTAACCTGATGAAGTTTTCATAAATGCAGTTTATTCTGAGAAGACAATTTGTAGAATCTCGGTTTCAATTCAAAAACTGCTGAGTCATGTTTTGAATTGCACCCGAAATCAGTGTTCGGAATGCATTCTTATTCAGCCGATTGCTGCTACGCATTGTCATGCACTGAACTGACGAATAATAGAGGGCGTGCGCATGTGTGCGTCGTGTCAATGCTTGCGCGCATCTATTCACGGATTCACCAAATATAAACCAACTACTAACAGAAATTTCCAAAAAGTGTGTCACTTAACCCACTTTTGGAAATGGCCTTCTTTTATTGTCTTCTTCAAATGGACAGCGTGACAGAAAGAATTTAGTTTCACAGGGAGTTTATTGCCATTACTATCTTTAAACCAAGTAAGCTTTTCAACAATAATTTGGTCAGCTACTTTTTGGATAGCTGCAAATGATCTACATTTGTACTCTGCCTTTAAAGATTTTTAGGATATTTCAAAATATGGAAAAGGGAAAAAAAATGAAATGAAAAAAATACAAATGACCTAATCACTCCAACTTCATGGACAAATTTGCCTTGAATTGAAATACAGGCTGTCCAAATTGCTTGTGCACTGGTAGTTTACATAATTTGCCTTTACACGTACAATTGCCATGCAAAGCAGTGGGGGACAAAAATATTCAGAAGTCGTTGAGAATGATTAAGGTGATGTACATGTACCTTGGTCCTTCTATAAATAAATAAATAATAATAGGGCCAAAGTGTGACATTTTTCCTGTTACCTCTGAACTTTATACATACATGTAATTTACCATTCAAGTGACATTAACAAGGACTTCAAACTCAATTGTATTTGTTTGGTAGGTCGTTTGCTTCAAATAATCACTCTTGGATGAAGGAGTGCATTAAGAATTTTACAAAATCATAGATGTCAGATGTTACAGGGACAGGAAAAAAATGACCTCAATTTTATACAATGACCCATCTGATCTACATGAACATGTCGGGTACATGAGGTGATGTAACTTATTATTTCGGTTTCACGAACTGACACGCAGCTGTGCATACGGCACACGCACTTTGTACACTGACATGTAATAGATTAATTTTGGTTTTCATGAACTGAAACGTAAGCATGTCTTAGGAATACAATTTAGAAAACAGCGCTTTGAAAGGTTTCGACACAAATTGACTCTACCCTTACATACTTGTGGGGTGACAAAATCATTCAAACCCTAACCCTGCTGAATCCAACAGGATCCAACTATGTCACATACCCGTTGGAGCCTGTTGGATTGAGCAGTTAACCCCTTGTGTACATTCCTCATGCAAAATGTTGGATTCAGCAGGCAACTGAACCGCATTATAACGCATTGTTGGACTCCGCTGGATTCAGCAGACAACTGAAAATAAGGCACAGTGGATTGAACAGGAAAGTCCGGTTGGACTTTGTTGGATTTTATAAGATGGAATTTTTGCGCCGGGGTGATATAAATCAAATTAGGTTTTGCCCTTCACCGACGTTTTAAACACTGTTTAAAACGTTGTGTTCGGTTTGTCGGTGAAGGGCAAAACCTAATTTGATTTATATCACCCCGGTGCAAAAATTCCATCTTTTAATATTTTATGCGGTACCCGCTGCTATGTACATCAGATTCGAACCGGCCAACCGATCCCGTTAGCTCGGTGGTCGAGTGGTAAGACATCTGCACTAGAAAGCAGGAGGTCGTGGGTTCGAGTCCCACCCGAGTGATTTTTTCCAACTTTCACTCAGGAGGTAACACACTGAGTATACAGTGTTTAAAACGTTGGTGAAGGGCAAAACCTAATTTGATCTGTTGGATTTAGCAGGGTAGTCCTGAGGAGCAAGTAGGGGGTTAGGGTTTTAAAAACCTTTTAATTAATTAACTGGTGAAATTAAGGCAGGTTTCAGTTCGTGAAGTACATGTACAGTAGTGAGTGTAGTACTTGGATGACAGTTTGTGAAAAACAAAATTACGCGGTTCTGTAAAGTGTGCTCGTGCCGGGCACTTGCGCACCACCAAGTGTGAGTTGGTGGTGTCGGTGACGGTATGTTGTTCAACCTTGAAATCAAATTCTAACAGTAACAACAGCTCAGTCTGTCCTGAGCAATGTTATACATGTACGTGTGTATAATTAAAATAAAGAGGTTTCATACATAGTAAGTGAATGGATACAGTAAGCATGCCGGATATTTCATCAGTTTGTGTGGTCTTGTGATATCATCATACACAAGTCACAAAATCATGCATGATTTTATTTAAAAAGATGATTTGCTGAACGTACCGGTAACAATGTACATGTACATATTTGTGCCATTTGTCTGTGTTTCAAAGCAGGATTTAGCTGCAGTTACAGGCTTTCATTTGAGGCTGCCATTTTGGATTACTGCTTTTGTTTGTAACGGATCCGAAAACTAAGCATATGCGTGTACACATGTGCACAATGTGAAACAACAGAATGGTCTGTAATAACTAATTATATGCATGCACATCCGTGTTGATGCGAAACCTGTCTATATTACCACTGAGTACCATTGTGATAATGAGATTTTAATCTCTGCCTGCTGATGGCTATTGTGTATGCTGAGTACTGACGGTGTTCTCATGGAATTCCAAGCCGTCTGCTTGCCGTTGTTGAAACATTTGAAACCTCACAATGCATCCCTGTACGTACAATGTAAATATGACCATAGTGCTGGCTGTTTTGTCTCTGCACATCATTCTCATCACACAAATTGCAGAGTGGGTACTATTTTTGGATAATGTCTCACACTTGATCGATATAAAATTCATAGAGGCATTTTTACTAGGATGCAACCTCAATCCTGCAAAATCCCCCAACTGCTTCCATGGAAAAATTGCATACAGCCTCAATCCTCCAAAAGCATTCAATTTCTTGAATGTTTTCCTTGAAGGGGTGACCACTGCCTCAGTCCTGTCACTGTCAATACAATGTACATGTATGTTGAGGGAGAGCAAGTACATACATGTACAATAACATCCTGGAGTAGTGCAGAAGACTTCAAGTACATACCGGTACATGTACATAAATGTATGATCTAGGACTAAATTTATGCTCAGTTGAGCATAAACAACACAATTGTCCGGCCTAAGACCTTGACACACTGCATCCTCCAAAATCAGCTGCACATTTTCGCCATATAGCCTCAATCATGCAAAACCCTCCATTTTGTAAAGAGGATTGTGGAGGATTTGGGAAGGTTAGGGTTACATATTTGAACTTTCCATGTCTTCAACAAATATGACATTTTTTTCCCAAATAAACTTTCAACTATTATGGTTTTCCTGATCCCCTCCAAAATTACTTTTTTTCCCCTGTGTTTGTCGTCTGAAAAAAGGCTGATATTTTTTGTTTTGTGTGTGTGTGTGCAAAGATTTGCGTTGTGATAAGACTGGTCCCTTGTCTCTAAATTATCGATTCTGACATTGGGGCGGGAACCAGCCTCCCTTGCGACACGGATCCTCTACACACGGATAAATGACTTCCCCAAATTTCTGGTTAGATGTGCGATGCGGCACATGCGAGGTGTGCGACTACAGTCTTTCAGTGGTCAAATTTCTGTCAGGACGCCAGCTGTCAACGATGTTCTATGCGTTGGTCTATGCGCGGACGCGGCATATCACGCATGTACGGTAGACAATCCGTTTCGTACATGTTTTTTCTACACATACTCAAACGAGTCGTTTATCCTTGTGTAGAGGATCCGTGCTTGCGAGAACATAATTATTGTCGGTCTGCAAATAATTGAAAATTGAAAATTGTGAAGTATTTATTTCATAAAGTGTGGGCCTTGTTTTGTTCGATGTCTCATTCAAAAGTGAGTTACTTTTGTATCAATTGTTGTACATATGTATGTAACCCAGACCTCATTTAGGTCTTAGGTTACTTTGTTTAATATTGACTTATAGGTGTACAACAATATATTGTATTCTTTTGTATTATTCATATTTAACCCTCCCTCTTTGGCTGGCAAATTCAATGAAGCCAACCCAGCAGTTAAAATAAATCAAGTAACTGTTTTAAACAGTGCTCCTTGCGAGGGCTGTCCCGACTTATATTCAAATGTTTTGATCATCAACCGAATATTCTAATAGCTTTTTGCCAGTTGGAATCTTCAAAAACAAAACAAACTATGTACATGCATGGACACACACACACATGACTGTGATGTTATTTTATTGTAAAATTACGGTGCTTTATTGTCAGGTTACTCAGGTGCCACATTTTTTGTCGACAGTAACTTCGGTTCATTGTTCCCATCCTTTAGAAGGTTAAAGCCCTCGACAGTGATAAGCTACCTTAATACTGCATAACTCCGAGCGGCCCATATTGATCGCCGCATGCAAAGTTTAACTTGTGCGCTCTGCGTACAATGTTTGACCTGCGCGGCACAAAGTTGCAGCTAGCAGTTTCGAATATCCGAATATTCGGTCAAATCAGTTTCAAGTAATCGAATACTAAATTATTTGAAAATGGACAGCCCTACTCCTTGCCCACATAAAGCAGGATTGACTGGCTGTGACTGGCCAGCTGTGCCTACTACCGGTAGTTACAATACATGTACATGTATGGTACATGGACTTGCTTCTGCCTGTTGTTGGAATTTGACTGTCACAGTGCCTACAAGGAATATGATCTGACTGTTGGTGACTAGCCTGTGTTAAAGGCATGAAAATACATGTACATGTACCTATATTGTAATTCTATACATCATTGGAAAGCATAATCTTTGTCCTTTCCAATGAGCCCAAAATTCCAGTTTTCTAAAAATTGGTCCAAGTGACTGGTTTTGAGCTGGAGGGTCACATACATGTATGTGGACTCGGTTTGTTAGGATACCGCTGTACTATACCGGTACATGTACATGTGCAAGAGTAAGACTATACTTGCTTGCAAAATGGAGGAAGGAATGTTCACAAAGAATGCCATACAGGCTCCTGTACAGTATGTAGTCCAGAATTTGTAAATTACTTCTGTTGTGGTTTGTGGTACAGCTGTAGCACACTGGATGGAAGGAAGTGAACTGTGCAAGGTCATATGCGTGTATTGTCCGTGCAATAGTGGATTGGTTCAAGTACATGTGCATACGTTATGTATGTGTACCAGCTGATCCTTGTACATGTACACTGACCGAAATTTGGGAGAATTTGCATCCTGTTGTTCTTTACACAGTTTACATAGTCTTCTTGAAGTTGATCCAGTGGCAATAACCATGAATGAAATTGCTGAAATACATGTATGTACTACGGTATGTAGTACAAAAACTGTTTGGTATGAAGAAACATGATGATGTACATGTATGTACACGTACACGTACACATGCCATTACCCGTGAGGCACAAACATGTGCATGTACAATTCACATGTATTTTTATGTGCTAATTACTGTAGATCGTTTTATGTTCATCATACAACTAATGCAAAATGCACATCACGTTCATGTACCGGTACTTGATGTTCTATGTATGCACGGACTAGGCCTATGTGCCGGTGCATTGTACCTGTGCGCATTGCAATTTTGAAAAGCCGAACAAACGTGCACATTAAAATGTACACGTACAAATGTACAGTAGTTCACATTGTCATGTTCTGGTACATGTACATGTACATTGCATTTTTTTTTTACATTTCGTTCACTTCATACATACATGTACATGTACATGTATAGTAAGGTACCTCCATGAACACATACGTATACATGATGTACATATACAATGCAAACTATGATACTCTGTACATGTACATGTACATGTACAATGCGTGTACATGTACATATGTTGCATACATGTACATGTACATTGTACATTGTGCACACACAAAAAATGTGGACAAAGGTGTCGAATTACCAATCTAAAAATAGCTTGCCAGTAACTTAATGATGCAGATGCCTGCAGGAGCGCATAGCTGCATCTCATTAGGGCCCCTGGAATGGGGGAAAATCCTTTTGGTACTGGTTTTTTTGTTGGGGGGGGGGGGGGGGACAGAAGGGGGAGGCAAAGTGAGGGGGTACCTGTAGTTCAAAAAGGGAAGGTTTTTATCATATTTTGTTTATTGTCAGAAATGCTTCAAAGGAATTTTGTTGCTGTGACCTAGATTTTTCAGGAGGTGAATCCTAGTTGTACTGGTCAATTGTCAAACTTGTTTGTTGTGTCACTATAGTACATGTACATGCACATAACTCAAATGTGAGTGAAACTACTTTGTACATACGGGTACACTATGTGGAGTTTGTTAGCAAAAATTTCCACTCAAAAGGTCCGCCCAACAGGGCGCAGTATGAGTAAACTTTTGAATGCAAGGTATTTAAAAATTTTGATAAAAAACTTACAGTTAAACCAACAGAAATGTATTTCTTGTAGTTTAGTCACTTTAACTTTAAGACATCTGTGAAAACAAATCCATCCTAAATGTGATGTAAAATAACAGCACAGCGTCGATAGAAAACCTCCCCCCATCCTCCCCCCTCCCCCCCTCCCCCCCCCCCAATGTAATGCGAGTTATTGTGGATGTTGCCCATACTGTTGGCAGTTCATATTGTGTCAAAGCATGGAAGGTCATACATGTACAAAAATGTACATGTACACATGTACATGTATGTGTTCATTACCTGTACATGTACATGTACATAACATGTACACATGTACCTGTACATTTAATGTACAATTCCATGTAACTTGACAGCTGTGACAGGAAATCACCTTCGGTGGCTAAGAAGGGACAACCCAATCATGAATTACTCTAAATTTCCTTATATGGCAATACAGATTTCTTTCACTAAATCAATGATTTTGTGTTTTACAACAAACTCAGTCTTTTGATTTTGACGTTTTTTTCGGCCTGACTTCATAATCTAGGTAATTTTAGTGTTACAGAAAAAAAAATAGCCCACTTTTGTTTTATAAAACTCATAAAAAATCTGAAGTGACAAATTATCTGTGGCTCTAAAGTTCAATGTCAGCTTGACATAAAAATTGAAGATTTACCACACTGTAATCTTGAAATGTTTTTTTTGGTATTTTCAGTGCCTCCAGTTGGAAGCAAGTTTCGGGAGGTGCACAGAACGGTGTTTTTCCACTTCACCCCGGCACAGACGCAACTAATTGTGGAGCAACGAGCACAAGTGCAATTAAGGTGAGTAGCTTGCATCTACGTCCAAAAAATATCAAATTGTTCGTGTTTTTTTTTTTGCATTTTGATAAGAGACATGTAAGATAATTATTATGCTAAGTATTCAAAAGTCAACCTTATACCTAGGGCTTACTTTAGTTTCAAGCTCGTTTCCAATAGTAAACCCTGGGTTTGAAACTTGCTTCCTGTATCCTGATTCGATGGCGCCATTAGCAAGTGTTAGATTTATATCGTGTACTTGGTGTTGTTATTTCCAACGTGTACTACGTGTTTTAACCCTAACCCCTTGAGCACTTTTACTAGAAAGTATCCTGAATCCGCCAAAATCCTCCAATTTTGTCATGCAAAAAATGTTAGTGTCCTAAGTCCATCAGAATCCACCAGCGCGTCCATCAGAATCCACCCGTGTAGTACATATACCTCGTACACAACAAACGTAGTATCCTGAATCCATCAAAATCCAGCAGTACCACTAGACTTCTGTCCTGAATCCATCAAAATCCCCAAACTTGGAGGTATCCTGAATCCGCCAAAATCCTCCAAAGCCATGAAAACAGGAGTGTGGATATTGATGGATTCAGGTACTGTAGTGTTAACGTTCATAGTAATTATTACACTGTACGTCCACTCCTCACAAAAAATCCTCCCCTGTTTATTTTGCTGAAAAATATTAATATGTTTGCATTATTGATCACGAAATGGTGTTTTTTTCTCAGGTTTTGTCTGGCAGAGACGAGTTGCGATCAGGATGACAAGTTTCCAGCCAGCGTCTGTGTCAAAGTTAACGGCAAACTCTGCCCTTTGCCAGTAAGTATAAGTGCATGCATTCATACAATAGGACATGCATCCAAGCCACGCTTACATGTTGCCACAATTCAACACTTACAGTACATTTTTGTATTAGTGGTGGGAGAAATCAGAGATTTCAAAATCCGGTTATCCTATTTTTTTTCAAACCGAATAATGGTTATTCGATTTTACCGGAAGCTCCCATTCAGGTCACAGTCACGCCAACAAAAAGTGACGAGTGAGTTGCTGCTTGCAATGCCCTCCACAGCGTTTGGTACAGTTTTCAGGATTCAGTGACCACTGGGCCTCTTCAAAAGCACTCCAGAGATGTCATTTCCAATGACAAAATGGGTGGGAACTCTCTGTGAATGTGGTTGTAATCAGAGACCATGGAGCAAATGGACCTTATTCACAAGAAAGTCATTTTGGTCGAGTTCCCTGAATGTATTTTATACATTGTGAACTGTTGAAGGGGATGGTACCCGACAATTCATTCTAGCCTCACTTTTACATTTTTTTTAAAACGTGGCTTAAAACAGGGCATGGTTAATCACAAAATTTAAATTATTCATCAGAGCATTCATCAGTTGTTTACTTCTGGTGCGGTGGACATTTTGTGGCATCGGCTTACGTACATATGTAAATGTATTTCCAGCCGTGTCTATTCAATGTACACATTGTGTGTGACACACATTTAATAGTTAATACACACAACACTAATACACAAATGTTGTTTCTTGCACGTTCGCAGAATGTGATGCACTGGTGGAATATGTGCGGCAGGAATCGTGACTTTTAGCCAACAGCTCAATTTTTTGACCCCCGAAATTCGTTCTCGCAAGAATAACACGAAAAAGCCCAGTTTTTAAAGGGTGGTTGTGTGGATGTTTATATCCTACTTTTACATTGTGTAACTGCTCTTTCCAGTTAACATCATTTAATTTAAAACGCGTTTTGGAGCCTAATTCGGGGCATTCCTCTATGACGTAATGTCCCTTTAACTCGTGACCAGGTGTTGTCCAAGAGCGTGACAGAAACTTAATCAGCCTACTTGAGGAAATTTAAAATGGCCTTGAAAACAACAAAGTACAATTGCCTCGGACATCAATAAACACATTAATAATTCCTATCGTGGAAATACAAACCTTCAGCATGCTATTGGTGTGATTGGTCGAGAAAAAAAATAGTTTGTTCTTTACACACTTGGGCATTATAGAGCATCTCTATTTAACATGCATTTGAATAGGATCAACACAATGTAAAAACATGTGCATGTATACATGTACATGGCTCAGTACTGCATGTACATGTACATACATGTACATGTATGTGAATGGTTGTATCCTGCTGGAACAATTGAGCTGGTTTTGCTTGAGTGAATTATTTCACCAAACCATCGCCCTTGATTGCGACACTCTATCCATTGACTTGCTCAGATCACCGCTGACAATATCACCACTGTTTGTATTGCTGACTTGTAACATTATAACTTTTAACATTATAACTTTTGACATTATAACTTTTGACATTATAACTTTTGACATTATAACTTTTGGCCTATTTACTTGACCTTGAGTGATACATGTAGATAAATGGCATGATAAAAGGAGCCAGGGAATGTGTTCTACAATGTGCATACATGTAGCTACATGTACATGTATAATGTCACATGCACATGAACATATACATTACATGATTACATGTACATGTACATTGTACGTGTGCATGTACATGTACATGAACAAGTACATGTAACATATAATGTAGGCCTATACCCGTACTTGTATTTTACAGTGAGGGTCAATATACAGAAATCATGCATGTTTGCATGAATATAACTTCAAGTACATGTGCACCAGTACAAGAACTACATGTACATGTATGTGAACTGTACGGTACATATACAAATGTATACATGTGTGAATGTTTGACATGAAATTAATGCACTTTCTGTACATTTTGTACACATACCGGTATCTCGTGTACATACATTTGCAGTACGGCATTTGCACTCGGGATTTCTCACACTAAAAAATAAATAAATAAGACACAAAAATATGTTTAAATGATGATCTTTTGCTAAAAAAAAATGGTAAAAGTGCTTAGAAATTGCCTCAGATCACACCACAGAGCATCTAGAGTCCAATTTTTTCGGGGCCCTTCAGTGGGCCCCAAATGCGACGCCGTTAGAGCTTCACGCTTCGTGCTAGCATTGGCATGATTACATGTACTTCTGATCAAGCTCCATCGCCAAATTCTTGCTCTCAGCTCTTACTCAAAGTTGGCAGCCATGCATGTATGATACCTCAAAGAATACATACATATGTACATAATGATATGGTCAATTTTATGTGCAGGTTTTACTACTGGTAGTAATAAAATACTCCTATAAAATAACCTCAGTATATTTTACGTGTACATGTGAAGTTTTGTTTGCTAAATTATTTTATCGGATAGTAAAACAGATTGCTCAAGGTTATTAAATTTGCATGATGAATATTCCACAACATCACCATACCGGTACATGTACAATGTGCCTGCCCTATTCTACTTCCACCTTCCTACCTGTAGCGGTATTTTTCATGTCTCTTCTGTCATCTGCCAATTTCAGAGCTACTCCCCCATTTAAATTCCCAATTTTCTTCGAATCATTCAACCTCTTCTTTTCCCCACTTCAATCAATATTTTTGCCCAAGTGGGACGTTGATCATTAGATAAAAATCTACTAGATGACAGCAAGTCTTGACGTTTGAAGAGACCAGAATTTTGGTTTTACTACGCCGGTGCCAAAATCATATTTTGAATTTACATTGAATTGCAATTTTGAAGTTTGTTACATTGTAACTCGTACCCATGTTTCACAGCAGTTTAAGAAAATTACAATTCCCTAGTCTTGTCCAGTAGAACATAAATCGTTAGTGACCACAAATTCGTAGCCTTGTGGAGACACACACACAATAGGGAACAAAACATTGTAAAGGTCTCCACAGGGCAATTTCTATAGATGAATAGGTCTCCACAAGGTTTTCACGAAATCGATATATGGGTTTTACTCAAAAACTAGGAATTTCCAAGGTGGGTTGATCAGTCGCAAATGGAAGAGTTTAAAAAAAGGGATATTAAGTCCAAATTTCAGCCAAGGAAACTAATTCTGGTTAAAGACATAGTCCATCATTTGTAATTTGTGCATTTTGTTCGTTTGAAGCAACAAAAGTGTTCAAAATCTAATGAAGGATACTGAACAACTAACCTGATGAAGTTTCAGCTCAACTTCAGCTGTATATTCCGAGAAAAACAGGCATTCTAGGATCTCAATTTCAAATCAAAAGTTGCTAAATCATGTTTTGAATTGTTTTGAATTGCAGCTTTACGCGATGTCGCGCACTGATCCGACGAATTATAGCAACCGCATGCGCCTGTGCGTCGTGCCAATGCTTGCGCGCGCTGCGCCGAATAACAAAACAAACTACTAATTTAAATTTTCCTACAGTGCTTCTTAAGACGCACCGTTGGAAATGCCTTCTTTCGTTGATTTCTTTAAAATGAGAGCTTGCCAGAAAGAATCATTTCACAGGGAGTTTAGTCCCCTTACTATCTTTCAACCAGTATGTTTTTCAACAATAAATACGCCAGTTACTTTTTTGGATAGCTGCAAATGATGGACTCCGGCTTTAAAATAAGAGCATTTTGAAACTTCACTTTCAAAATTGAACACTTTACTACACGAGAACAAAGAAATGTCTCCACAAGGATACAAATTTTAGAATATGTGAACAGTTGTGTGAACAGTAGTGTAAAAAAGTACTAGATCACTCAGTTTACAGTACTTCAGCTATGGGCTGCATTCGAGAACAAGAATATAAAATAACGACTACTACCTTCATACAATGTTACATGTTTACTACCTACATGTACATGTACCGGTATACATACCGGTGAAGCTACCGGTATTGGCAGTTATTCAGTGGTTGAAATTGATGCATCAATTTCATGGTCTGGGCATTTTTTAGCGAAGTTGTCATTGTGTTCTGTGTCGTTCATCATTTGGAATTTTCCACGTCAATAACGCACATGTTTTTGCACACCTCAAATGGGTGTAAAATGGATTGGCAAGGAGGGTGCGTTGCAGACGAGTGGGTGTCCTTATAAACCCACTCATCAGGCAGAGAGGAGGGAAAAAAAATCAATAGTTGAGAGAGAAGAAGCAGGGACAACAAATTTGCTTCGGGAAAAAAAAAAATGTCAAATTGTACCTGAAATTGGAATCTAATAGGCGTGATGGTGATGCATATTGCCAAATATCCTGCTTGTGTAATTCCTGGGTCTATTTTTAGAACTTCCCTGCACAAGGATGAAGAACAAATCAATAGTGAGAGAAAAAGCAAGGATGGAAAAATTGAGATTAAAATTGAGGAAAAATACCAAAGTAACACATACAGTATAGGTTCATTTGTCCAACAAGGCAAGAACGAGACATGTACATGTACCAAAATTATATGTCGATGCGAGCGAGGTTGTCTTCGAGCGTGAGATTGCGCACTGTGCATAGCACGAACTAACTAGCAGCATCAGAGACTGCCAGCGCGCACTTTTTTGGCGCTAGGGTAAATGACACAGCCGGGCGTAAATCTGGGGGGGGGGGGGGGGGGGGGCGTGGTGCATCCTTAATGTGAATGTGTAATCTCTAACTCTAACACTTGGTGGCGCTAACGTTCTGACATTTTACGCGATTTTTGTTTTCATTAATAATGGCTGTGGAACAAACGAGGCGTCAGACTTATAAAGCGTCGGATTTATGAGGCGTTGGACTTATGGACAGAAATATAAGTAAATTTAAATGTCGGACCTACGAGACATCGGATATATAAGGCGTCGGACTTATTGCCCTTTATTTGGTTGGGGATGAGATTTTGTCGGACTTATGAGGCGTCTGACCTACTGGTATGAGGCATCAGAGTTACAAGCGGACCCCCATTTATTGGGTTACTGTATGTGTTACGCAGTGCTTGAATTATTGCATGGCCTTTACGTTGCATTTGGATAAGGGTGTTCACTGATAACATTATGGTCACATAACATTATAATCAAATCTTATACCCCTTGGAATGCCTAATATCAGGTGTTTAGTCTTTGACAAAGATTTTGAAAGGACAATGAACATGCAATCTTCTTTGACAGCTGAAATGTATTGGTCTAAGCTTAACTACCACACAGGATTCTAATTGTTAAAGAGGAAAATAATATAGCCTTACAAAATCAACGATATACATGTATCTCTGGTTTGCATTGATGGATTTTCTTGATATTTGCACCAATTATAAACAACCTATAGGCTTTAAAATGATAAAAAAGTTGATTAGCTACATGTACATGTAGCATGACCACTTTTTGAGCAGATCAGCGACTTCTTCATGCACAATGTTTATTGGGACACACTGTATTCAATCATCCGCTGAATATCCAAATAGCATGCAATTCAAATAGTAAAAACATGTGAGCGGTCTCTAGGAGAAGATGAAACGTGTCCACGATGTTATTTTAATAGTATCAATTCACACTGACGCGTATGGTAGCGTGCGATATACCGGTATATCTGTGCCGTGTACACGCGTACCGGTAGCGGATAGTGAGTTGCGTAAAGGCCGTCACGATTCAGACCACACAAACTGATGACTTATTCGGCGTGCTAACCATATCAGTTCGTTTTCGAAACTTCGCTAACATTGTCGTAGCTACTGCAGTTGTTTCAGTTTTCCAACCATGTGTCATTTCTATGAGTTTATTTGCTTACATGTACCATACTTCATATTTTTTCAGCAGTGCAACATACATGTACATGAATTTTAATGTTTAAAGATATAGTCCATCATTTGTAATTTGTGCATTTTGTTCGTTTGAAGCAACAAAAATGTTCAAAATCTAATGAAGGATACTGAACAACTAACCTGATGAAGTTTCAGCTCAGCTTCAGCTGTATATTCCGAGAAAAACAGCATTCTAGGATCTCAATTTCAAATCAAAAGTTGCTGAATCATGTTTTGAATTGTTTTGAATTGCAGCTATACGCGATGTCGCGCACTGATCCGACGAATTATAGCAACCGCGCGCGCATGTGCTTCGTGCCAATGCTTGCGCGCGCTGCGCCGAATAACAAAACGAACTACTAATTTAAATTTTCCTACAGTGCGTCTTAAGACGCACCGTTGGAAAGGCCTTCTTTCCAACTTTAAAATGATAGCTTGCCAGAAAGATGAATTTCACAGGGAGTTTAGTCCCCTTACTATCTTTCAACCAAGTATGTTTTTCAACAATAATACGCCAGTTACTTTTTCGGATGGCTGCAAATGATGGACTATACAGCTTTAAAGATAATGTGCTGAAAAATGCACGGTACATACATGTACATGTACATGTACATGTATATTGTTGTATCCATGCACAGCTAACCATACACCTACCGGTACAGTAACTGTTCCATATGTACGAAGAGTACCTGAAAAGGTTATTTTCCAAAACATGATAAACGCCATTTTGTTGCCTTGTACAATCATGCTTTCTCCTGGCTACCCATGGTCAGTTTCCATGGGTTTTTATATACTTAAAGTTAAACACAATTTAAGAAGACAATAAAAGCGAAAAATGAAGTTTAGAAACACCTGTTATATATTTTTATTCTTTAAACTTTGATAAAGGTTGCAAATTGTTCCTTTTTTTTCAAATGGATATTTCACGTTTTGAAAATAAACGCTTCACATGTAGATGTACCGGTAGATGTACATTTGTGGGAAAAAAAATCAATTATCCTTATATCTGAGTATACCTGTACATTGTACGTGTGCCACTTTATAGGTAAACAGTTTTGTACGCATACATCTAATGCACACCCACTCACATACACATCATATAGTCATTCCTCATACTGTTTTTCTACAGATGGACATATGTACATGTACTTGTACATGAACAATCTTGTGTACACATACCTGTACAAACACGTTCAATAGTTTTCAGTGTATTGCGGCTATTTTTAGAAGTGGTTATTTATGTACATGTATGGTGTAACTCAATTGGAATAATTTCCACATCAACGTCAAAGATTCAACTTCAGGATGGTGCGTTATTTTTGAAGCGTGCATATGTGTACATGTACATTGTACATGTACTTGCATCTGTACATTGAGATGTACTTACGGTACCTACATGTAGGGCGCCGTGCTTTGCTGTAGTCTTGTCCCATACATGGGTGTGTGATAAAGCATTGTACGTGTCTTACCTTTTGTGGGAACTTGTCATAAATAAAGTAAATTGGAGAAGAAATGTACAATATCAGGCAAAAAGGTGGAAAATCAAAACAATTAGAGGCAGCCGACACTCCTTTTCTTAAAACGACCTACATACATGTTATAGGTTCAAGCGCATTCTAATTAACATCAGCAGCAACATGGACAATCGTCTCATTGTAATTCTGTCCACACATTTGCAACAGTTCTTTCAAGGAGTAAAGATAGATCATTTCCTATTAAAGCAGCACATCCATCAAGATCAACATTAAAGTGCTGCCAATGGCCAAAGTGTAGAAAACGGAGAGAGAAAATCAGAGAAAATCATCACTTGTACACGTACATGTATTTATTTATAAGTCTCAGTTAAAAAAGAAAAGAAAAAAGAAAAGACAAAAAAATTGATCAATTTTGTGAAGAAGTCGTTTCCTCTAAATGCAAGCATCAAAAGTACAGCATTCATGTACACAGGTACATTTTCTACTCATTGTATAAGTTGGTCCATAAACTAGTGTTTTGTGGGTTATTTTTAATCTGAAGCATTATCAAAAAGCCATACACTACGGGTACTTTCTTCCTGTATACATTTTCTATCTTTACCCCGCAGCCAAATACAACTCCGCGCAGTGTAAGTTAACCAGGTAACCCAAAGCTGTAAGGCCTAGTGCTTCTGACTGTCCAGCCGTGTCAAATGTCCAACCCTGGGGAATTTTGAAAACATTTTCAGGCACAAGTTACTTCTTTTCTTTTTTTTACACCGTGTTTTGATACAGGCAAGGGAATAGGAAATGTGTAGCGAATGCATAATTTCTTGTTGTAGAATGCATGCCCAGTTATACATGTACAGTACATGAGACACTTGTACATTTGTATACATGCACAATTTTTGTTATAAACAATTGTATCGACATGCAGTAATATTTCACGCATTACCTTTATACATGTAGCTCCCCTTTTGTTTAATTATTTGGTTTGTTTTGTTTGTTTTGTATTCAACATACGGTACATACATGTACATGTACCGTATGTGACATTTCACAGCTGTAAATGCACAGTTACACATTATTATACATGTATGTGTGCAGCAATAATGCACATTATGTTGAAGAAATAAGTTGCAAAACTCTCGATTTACAGTGATAGTCATTGTACATGTACGGTACATGTGATGTTTTGCCATCGAAATGCTTTCACTTTGTACATGTACATTGTACATGTACATTGTAAATGTAAAATACCAATTATAACATGCATGTATAAATACACTTGTTACATATACGTGTAGGTACATGGTTAACTACCAATTAATTGTTTTGGTTCAGTGTCGCTGTATTTTTCTAATATTGAGAAAAAAGTGTATGTACGTTTTTCCTAATCTCTGATTATAATTTTAAAGGTTGGTGCACATTTTGCATTGTGGTTATGACACTTGGGCAAAGCAGTGTCACAGTCGAGTCACTGGAGTCGAGTCTCGAGTCACTTGGGTTGAGTCTGAGTTTTGAGTCACTTGGTCAAGTCAGAGTCTCGAGTCATTTTGGTCGAGTCAGAGTCACGAGTCACTTGGGTCGATTGAGAGTCACGAGTCACTTGGGTTGAGTCAGGGTCGAGTCACTTGGGTTGAGTCAGAGTCTCGAGTCACTTGGGGTGAGTCAGAGTCTCAAGTCAGTTGGGTCGATTCAGAGTCTCGAGTCACTTGGGTTGAGTAAGTGTCACGAATCACTTGGGTTGAGTCAGCGTCACGAATCACTCGGGCTCAGTCAGAGTCTCGAGTCACTTGGGTCAATTCAGAGTCACAAGTCACTTGGGTCGATTCAGAGTCATGAGTCACTTGGGTCGATTCAGAGTCACGAGTCACTTGGGTCGATTCAGAGTCACGAGTCACTTGGGTCGATTCAGAGTCACGAGTCACTTGGGTCGAGTCAGAGTCTCGAGTCACTTGGGTCGATTCAGAGTCAAGAGTCACTTGGGTTGAGTCAGCGTCACGAATCACTTGGGTTGAGTCAGGGTCACGAATCACTTGGGTTGAATCAGAGTCTCGAGTCACTTGGGTCGAGTCAGAGTCACAAGTCATTTGATTCAGGTCATGTACATGTACATGTACATGTAGGCCAATGCATTGTTATGGATGATCATGGACATGGACACATGTGTACATACATGTACATGTATATGTACCGGTACATGTAAGCAATACATGTGTAAGTGAAGCACTGAAGGGAGGGTCACATTTAATAACAACCATACTGAGTTCATGATAACCATCAATTGTTTATTTTTCCTCCATTTGTCCCCTTCCCTTCTATGCAGCCGTTCCTGCCACAAACAAAAGCAGGGACAGAGCCCAAGCGGCCTAGCCGACCTGTCAACATCACGCCCCTGACGCGGTTAACTCCTACCTCACCCAACCAAGTAGATGTCCAGTGGATCCCCGAGATTGGCAGGGTAAGTCACTGCGACCATAGAGGGCGCTACTCATTTGCTTCGTGGCGAGGAATCACTTCTCTAAATTCGCATTGTTGTTGGGCCCCAATAGCCTTTCATGAGCAAGTTGGATCGAGGCTCGGTTGAGTAGAGGTTGATATTTGATGAGCTACTTATGGGCAACTCCAGCGTTATCTAATAACCTCGACAGGGCTTTTAAGAGCTCAGTGAATAAACCTGAAAATGTATTTTTCAAATCTTATACATCCATCATTTAGTAATGGTTAACCCTTTCCTTTACCATGGGCGACTTTTGTCGACAAGAACTACACCCCTGCTGGTTCCCATGGGCGACTTTAGTCGACCAGGAAACCACACACAAAACACTCTCAACACAGACATATTCACTACTTTTCAGAAAGGCGGCATGTTGATATGTTTGGCTGCCCATACATCAACTATATACCAGCGGAAAGAGTGTTTTCGGATCTTTCTTTTGGTGTGGTTTATTTATAGTGTTACTATTACAAAAAAATGAGAAAAGTGCTTCAGAAGTATCCACGCACAATTTGAGGTATGGAGTGCCATTTGGTCATGTGGTGAAATGGCTTGCAGTTTGATAATTGGGACCAGATGAACAAAAAGGCATAACTTTCTAATATGTGCACATATATATGGACCTCATTTTTACATCACATCAAAGAGTAAGGTTCAAGGAACAAACTTTACACACAACACCTATGATTTTAATCACTCCTTGGCAGTGAACATTTGGGTTGAAAAAAGTGAGTTTTAGACTCGCGCTCATTTTTTTCACGCTCTAGTGATTTCCGCATGACTGAGCAAACAATTTGGTCCTGGGGAGAGCCAAGTCAATAAACAATGTGGGCATGAAAGGGTTAAAGAGATTACAGACTTATAGGAGTTTGGGATCATATTTCCGAATCTTTTATTAGATATCATGGCTAATTGGCTCTGTCAGGGACATTACACCTGCTGTCGTAACGCTGGACAAGACTATATTAGTGATCCCAAGAGCACGAGTGGAACACGGAATAATGTAGTGCGTCAGTGTCTGATATGTGGGACGCAGACGCACTTCATCTTCCGTGTTCAAATTTATTTGCAAGCAAACTTAACGCAAAGTAAAGATGGAACACGTACCGGTATGCTGTACACGAACTTTTCAGCGGTTAGCCTGTTACACATGTGTGCAGCGAGAATGGCGCTCGCATCTTGGAATAGTGCAATACGCGGAGAGTGATGTGGACCGTAGTATTAGTTAAAACATCGCACTGTTGTTGCCATGGATCAAATAATAAGGGTCAAGGATTCAAGTTTACTTGAAGATAAATTCAATTGTAGTTGACTTGCATTCGTTCAAGCCAAGATACATGTAGTCAAACTTTGATTAACCATAGTTTACTTCTAGAACCTGCTTCTTGATGCATACCAGGAACATCCTGTTGAAAAAAAAACAGTTGGGCATGATCATGTCCATTGACAGGCGTATTGCCTATTGTTAATTACTTGTACACCTGACCTCAAATGTAAGCGTTTATGGGGACTGGAAAGTCCCTCAAAACTTCTGAAATTTAACCTGTTGCCATTTGCAGTGATGAAACTGATTGGCATGTGTGTAGCACCGAGGTGTGTGTATGGTGCTGCTTTGTACACATGTGAATTTTGAAATTAAGTTGACCTCGCACAAGAGGTCATATCGACAAGGTGCTTTGGCCGATCTCTGACTCCACATCAGATTTTATTCAGGTAGCTTTCAGACTATGCAGTTACTGATTCTCATATTCTTGTATTACATGTACCATAGTATTCCAGACCGATGCCTCTAGTTTGGATATGGAGTCAGAGAACGTCCAATGCAATCTTTATCATGATCATATGACCTTTGCAATGATTTTCCTGGTCGCAGGTGGCCAGCCTACAAAGTTACATACCTCACTAAGGCTGAGTCTGAATGATTGGCTACGGCTAGAAATTACACATAAGTCTATGAGAAGTGGCTGCAGCCGCTACCATAGACTCGTGTGTAATTTCTAGCCATAGCCAATAGTTGGACACGGCTTTGCTCACTGATTGTCTCGCTGTCACTTGTGAGTAAGACTTGCTTTAGTCCCACCTTGACCAAACAAAATTGACCAGGATGACTATGTTGACCCCTTAGGCCAAATTCGTCTTTAAAGGGAATATACAGCATTTGCAAACATCAAAAAACAAAACTACTGGTACCACATTATTATGAAATACCGTACATTGTACCTTCACTGGACTGTTAGTAATCGAAAGTCTGAAGCATCCTGTAAAATCATGCATTTTCAAGAAAAGTGGTATTTTTTTTATAAATTTCCAACGCTGTTCAGCCGACCAGTATTGGAAAAAACTGGCTTTTTTTAAAATGCTGTCCCCAATTTACCATATTTAGTTAGTCCACATTTTGTTTGCAATCGAATACACACCTACAAAATGTGTGAAGGGGTACCGGTACAAGCCATCAAGACTGGTTTCCAGACCTTACAATTCCCTGACATATATAAATTGCTCCGTTTCATCGTAAGTGGGGTCAGGGAAACAGACAACAGGAACATGATTGTTTTTCTTGGTTTTTCCAGCATCTCCGAACGCAAAACTTTAAACAGGTCAGTGTAACAATATTTGCTATAAAATACTAACCAAATCCCCAAATCCATCCATTTCTGAAAATTACGGCAAAAGCAAATGTTGTATATTCCCTTAACCAGTTTTACTAGGCTGGCCTCGATTTGTTTTGACAAGAAAAAGGATCAGCCTTTTCCTTTTGTATTTGTTGATTTCATTTTTGTTTTCTTGATGCTGCAGTCTTACTGTGTGGCAGTCTACTTAGTCAGACAGCTTTCGGCAGAGATTCTTTTCCAGAGATTGAAGGGCAATGGAGTCAGGAATGCAGACCACTCCCGAGCTCTCAGTAAGTACAACAGTTTTGGTTGCCTGTTCTCAACAGTCAACTGTCAGTCAGTCAGTGTGTAGTGACCAATTAGATTACAAATTTTTGTTAGGTGACCACGAATGCCCAATCAAACTTGGTCAGAAGCTCTGTGAGACATGTACACAGACTAAAGGTGGGAGGGGCTTGTGGTCAAATTTGAAATGGTCCATTGATTTCAAAGGTGTTGCAAGACCAGTTTGAATGGGGTTTGGACACCATCTGACTTGTGGGGGCGCTCTTCAAAGCAGACAATCGTGGACACTATAGGATAATAAGCCCAATCACACACCACAACCCACCACAACCCCCACCCCAACCTCACCCCCACCCTCCCTCCAAACCCCCAACCGCCCACCCGCACCCTACATCCTCACCCCACACCCCAACTCCCACCCCCACCCCCGCCCCACCCCAACCCCAACCCCCACCCCATCCCCAACCCCATCCCCAACCCCTGTAGTGATGCCCTGATTGATTTAAACATAATGACATAATGGCTGATCTTTTTTCCCTCCAACCCAACCCATCCCTCGTACCACCTTACCTTTCCTCCCTATCCTCCTCTCAATGAACCCCTCTCCCCCAATCCCCTCCCCCACAGTCAAGGAGAAGCTGTCCCACGACCCCGAGAGTGAGATAGCCACCATGAGCCTACGGGTCAGCCTGATGTGTCCGCTGGGTAAGATGCGTATGTCCACCCCCTGCCGTCCCATCACCTGCTCCCACCTGCAGTGCTTCGACGGCGTGCTGTACCTCAAGATGAACGAGAAGAAGCCCACGTGGATCTGTCCTGTCTGTGACCGCAAAGCACCGTTTAAATCCATCATTATTGACGGGTAGGTACCAGTGTACTGAGCTATCGAGCACCACTCGCATCAAAGTACTTTGACCCTTGAGAACGAGTACAGGTACCCGAGTCCCAGTACTTTGACCCTCGAGTCCAGGTTTTGTGAAGCCAGGTCGGAGTACTTGGGCCGCCGATTACAATTAAGAGTACTTGGACCTCCGAGTATGGTCTGTGGAGGGGTGATCTGCCTGAATCCTGCAAAATCCTGCGGCAGTGACTGTCAATATGTTGAGGCTTGGCCAGTGACATCCTGGAGCAGTACGGAGGATTTCAAGCGTAATCCAGGCCTATATTTATGCATCGCTGAGCAAAAAAACAAAACAAGGTCTGGCCCAAGACCTTGACAAAGTGCATCCTACGAAATCAGTAACGCACTTTTGCCATGTAACCTCAATCTTCCAAATTCCTCCACTTTGGCAAAGAGGATTTTGAATGATTCAAGGCGGTTAGGGTTACATGTACATGTACACCGTAATAAAACAAACAACCTGAGCACAGGGAATGCAACTACATGTATAAAGCCAACTTCCCTAAATTTATCTAACTCATTTGCACCAAAAAAGTTAGTTGTTAACAAAAAATGGACGAAAGAGAAATAAAAAATTCAAAATATTCTTTGATTTTTCAGCTTGTTCATGGAGATTCTGAGCCACCGAACGCCAAGTCTTGAGATCCAGTTCTTGGAAGACGGGTCATGGCAGCCCTTGTCAGAGAAGAAGCGCACCTACAGCTCAGTCATGAACATCAGCGGCATGTCTGATGGTAAGGCTCTCTCAACTGTGAAAAGGGGCACAGTGCACAACCCCCCCCCCCATTGTAATTGTTATGTTATTATTATACAGATATTGAGGGGCTCAGATTGAAATGGGAAGAATATAATCGTAAGGTAAAATCTGGACTTTTCCATTTCACAAGGCGAAGCCACTCAATCTTTGTTTTTATATAATTGACATATAGATCCTTGTCATGTGATATATTTGAACTTTTTATTTCAATACAAAATTGGTGGAAAATGTATTTCTCTATTCAAACCACCCTTTCGGGAAAATGTTTGAACCCAACTCTGTAGCGCTGGCTCTTTGGAACAATACGCGCAACGCTGAACACGCACACCCAGTCCGTACCGGACGGGGCAGCCAGCAGCAATTCCCGTTGTTTATTTCTCATCATCAATTTCCATATTTGTTTGTAAAAGTATCGATTGTAAATGATTTGATATAACTTTTGTGGCCCTTTTTATAGCTTCTGTAGTGTAAATGGAACTGGTTCAGAGCATTTTGACTAGAAAAATTTGGAGGCCTTACAAAATTGAAACTGCTGCGGTCGGTGCGGCTTATACGCCGGTGCGGCTTATACGCCGGTGCGGCTTATACGCCGACTTCAAATCTTAATTTGCAGATTTTTGCGTGCTGCGGCTTACTCCGCGTGGCTTATATTCCGAAAATTACAGTAAGTGCAAAGGTTATCGGTGTCATTGTCACTGTAGATGGGTACTTATTCATGGGCTCTGTGGACAAACTGTAGAGGGCGCTGTGTGACCACGCACGTACTTGGTCGCATGTTTGGCGGGAACCAGTACGCACAAGTCATCTTATTCTGAATGTGCACAAACTTGTGACGGTACGTCTTCCTGTGAACATCAGGCACCATCAGCAATGTGTTAAAATGTGGTCTCCCCCAACTCTTCCTTTCAAACTTTTTTTTTCTGATTATTTTTGTGATGAATTTATTCTTTTTCTTTTTTTTTTTACTAGGGGAGGGCTCGACGCCCAGCAAGAGGTCCAACGTGGAGTGCATCGATCTGACCAACTCCAGCTCAGACGAGGGAGACGAGACAGAGGAGGAAGTCAGCAGCGACACGGACTCGGAGGAGGAGCTCATTCCTGTGCCAAGACCCCAGCATCGCGCCGGGACAATGCGCGTCCAGGATGAGGACGAACCCGAAGTCCGCCTCCCAGACGCTAGCATCATCTCCCCATCGCCCAAGTCACCTCCCCCGCCGCTCACCATGGGCAATAAACGGTTGGTGTCCCCTCCCCTAGCTTTGTTCTTGACCCCTCCCCCTCTGATCTTGACCCCTCCCCCGCCTCCTGCCTCGCCCCCTCCCCCGACCCCTCCCCCACTGCGCCACTTTTCCCAGACCTTATCCCCGCTCCCCCATTCCTGCAAAACGCCTGACGTAATGGATTGGATGACGTCCCCCCATTCATCAGACGCCTCAGCGGACGACCCCTTCCGCAGTGACTTAGACACCCTCTGCGCGTCCCCCGTGGTCGATAGGCAGGCGCAGGCCAAGTCTCACGTCCGCACCGCCCGATTGGCTAATTACGCGAGCAGCAAGCCCCAGGGGTGCTATCGTAGCTGTGTACTGAACTTTAACTATTGATATCACTCTACATCAGTAGTCCATTCTGGACAACGAATCACTAGGCCCAAGAAATGGTGACGGCAGTGTGGCAGCTATTTTCAAAAAAAGTGCTAACACAACACTTCCGCCATTACTGCGGGGCTCTGTGGGGTGACCAGTGACTTATTGCCCACATTGGTGCAAGCATAGACAAAATGCATTGAAGTTGTCATTCTATTTTCATTTGTCACTTGAGAAGTTGAAAATTACTTTACAGAACTGCATAGAGAGACTGCATAGACATTAGGCATAGCAGCCATCTTAGAGGGTAATGCCTTTGTTTGGCTGGGATAAACATCAGTGAATCTTTGGTGCATTCACTGTTACTGAATTTAAATAACAAAAGATACCCTCTAACAAGCCGCTACATATAAGTTCTATGGGTTGTGTATAAAGACAGTCATTATTGAACATTGCACAAAAAGACATGAAAAAATAAGAATATCGATCATTTATCAGAAGTAAAGTATACAAGTTAAGAAATTGACAAAATGGCGGGCAAGAAAAGAATTTTGTTTAAATTGAATCTCACAAATTAATTTTTTTTGTTTTGGAAAGTTAAAACTAATCTAAAAATGTTAAAACATTGATGTTGTTGCAACTGAAGTTTTCTCTATTCCCAAAGTGAGTTGTGTTTGTACATTTTTGTTTATTGTTTTGTGTTTTACTTGAATGAATGATATATGAAAATATCAGCAGAGCTTTTTCGCTTTAAGCCTAAGATTTTCCATAGTTTTCTCAAAGAAAGTATTTACAAATCGAAGCAGTTTAAGTATTCCAAGTTTGAAAAGAGTTTAAAATAAAGCTTTGAAAACAACATTTGTTGATAAAATTAAGGAGTATCCACTTCCTACATGTATTTCTTAGATACTTCTCTTGATCAATTTTGAAATGTGATTTGTTTAAAACAAAAAATCATGCCCTTATTAAGGGAAATAAGGAACTTGGCATAAATAAGAAAATAAACCTTAGAAGTATACATTAAACTCTCTAATATATTAAAAACATATGTAGGCATTATTTAGGTAAAGAATTCTTTATTATTTTGATAGCATACATTACAGTAACTTTAACATTCTGAAAAAAATTAGGTGGATACTCCTAAATGAAATTGATCCTGAAAAAAAAATCATGCTTTTATTGTGGTCATATTGATTTGTCTTCAATCCATTAGATATGCCACTCTTTGTGTATGAGTATCAATCATATTGACTTTAATTTTGATAATGTAAATGTTCACTTTTTTCCTTGTTTTCTTTTTCACTTTTAACAATGCCGTGAGTGGGACTTGAACCGTGTCCCTTCTGTAAACTTCGCGGATTCAAACACCGAGCCTTTAACTAACTGAGCCACTTCTCAAATCTTCATGTTGATGGGAAAGCTGCCTTTAGTACCCCTAAGATCTTTTAAGGCATAGTTCTGCATTCTTACATGCCCAAGTAAACAAAGAAACACTTGGAATAGTTCCTTGATTCCAACAGGTGTTTTAGGCTGGAGTTAGCCAACAGTGTGGAATGCAGTCTAGTGTGGCTATTGTCATGCAAATTTGACACCTGTTTTTGTGCTTTTGTTTAGGTCAACACCTGTAGACACAGCTCTGCATTCTTTTCTTACAAGACATTTCAAACAGGTGTTACAGGCTTTACTTTAACAAAGAAACCCCTGGCATACACATGTAATGGAGGGGTAGTACATTCCTTGAAGACTCCATGGTGCTGCAGGTTGAATGCTGCATCCATTCACATAAATTATAATATAGACTGTTGCTGAAGTGCTATTCAAAAAATAATTTATCTTGCATAGACCAATCCGAGCAGACTGTCACTGTACACCCACGGATGGCCCCCTTCAATGGCGAAAGCAATGTGCCTGGCATTGTTCAGATAATCCATCATGGGGCAGTCACTTTGTACAATGGCTGGCTCAATGTTTTCGCCATTGAAGGGGGCCTGTGTTAATAAACAGTGCTAGGATTGCACATTCGGACCACAGAACAGAAGTTTTTTCCATGCATTACATTAAAATAATGAATTTGCAGATTATGCCTAGGATGCTGCCAAGTGCTGCTCCCCAATCCCCTGTGACCCCCCCTCCCTCCTGTTCCCCCTCCCTTCCCCTATTTATTATTTCTCCATTTGCTGTTATTTGATCCCGTTTCCTAATACTTGTATTTTTATTATACACCACGGAATGCCACTGTACATGTTATACACATGGTTGCCCAACCCTAAAAAAAATCTAAAATCCCCTTTATATTTGATGCGTGACATTTGAAAATCCACACATTAGTGCCCATTCTTCAAACAGGCCTGACATTTAGGCAATTGAGCAAATATCAGACCTTTCATCGCAGTCACAAGAGATTTCAGATATTTGGGGGTTCATTGGGTAATGAACAGTCTCATTCGTCCCTGACATTTCAAAGGTTGGAATTCTTTTCAAGTATTCTGTGACAAAGTTGTAAAGTTTTGAGTTTTGAATGTATTCACCAATCCGATTTTGAAGTTATGGTGACAGTTCTGGTGGCCATTACTGGGACGTTTCCATGCCTGAACGCATATTTTTTCTCTGCAGCATACATCGTATTTTAACCAATCACATCACGAGCCCTAACATGAATATTTATCACGCTGTCTGGATGGAAGACACTTACTGTAGGTTCTCGTAGTGTACGTTTTCCTTTCAATTAAACTTATCCCAACCAACAAAAATATTTAATGAATTGGGACACGGGTACCGTGTTCGAACCACAGATCTTGCGATCCATAGTTCATTCCACCATCCAATAGGCCACTGTGGCAGCTTGACGAAAGCCGTTCCGGAACCGGGTTCGAACCACAGATCTTGCGATCTATAGTTCATTCCACCATCCACTAGGCCACTGTGGCAGCTCGACGAAGGCCGTTCTTTGAAACGCTTTGATGTGCATGCATGACTAAGTAATAGCAATGGTGTGACGTCATTGTTATTTTCTTATGAACTCTGAAAACATCACTAAGTAAAGGAGAGTGCATTGTGTGAAATACCAAGTAAGCTTTGGAGCGTCCCAGTAATGGTGGAAAGCCAGCTCAGTAATTGCAAAAAGTTGACATCGTAGATTGTTCTGTTATTAGCCATGTGTCTTCTTTGTTTTCTTCTGAGTAGCTGACTCAAATTTGTGTGTTTCTCCCAATACTTTTCAGGGGTTCTCCGCTCAGGTACCCCCTAGACTACACCCTGTGCCCGCCCATGCCCACGTCGCATCACACTAACAGCCTACCCTCGGTGGATATGGGCCCCACGTCGCATTCCCAGCTGGGCTTGTTTGGAGACTACAGTTCCTTTCTGCCCATGCCGCCCTCCTTGTCTGGTACAGACTACCCGAGCGGTGAGTGAAAAGCAGTATTAAAAGATTGCGATGTTTTCTGTCAAAAGCAGACCTCGTGGCTGTTGGTTGGGAGTAAGGTTTTCAAATATTATTAAAAAATATCTTCTGCTCTGCAGTGACAGTAAAATGGTTAAAAACAGACTTTCTTGGCGAAATTATGCGCATATCTGAATCTGATGACGTCACAAAAGCGGTAATGGAAAAATTGTGTGTGAAACTTTGGGTTATGCATTTACATAACATGCACACACAAAAATCGTCTTTATAGGCAAAATAATGGTCTGAAAGTTTTGAAGTACCGTATATTTGAGCCATCTTTAGGATCACAAATTAGCCAAAAAAAACTCGAAAAGAAAAAAACCCTCATCAAATTTTGGTCACAACTCCATTTCAAGCTCTTCCCAGAAGGGTCTAGTTTTGATAGAACTTGTCACAATTTATATCTCCGGTTTCCAAAACAGTCCGCCATACAGACATTGATTGCGGTGCCCGAAGCTATTTCAGATTCGAACCAGTCAGTCCACCATGGCAAGCTCGGTGGTCAAGTGGTAAAGACGTCTGCACTAGTAAACTGGAGGTCGTGGGTTTGAATCTCACCTGAGCACGCTGTTAATTTCATGAAAATTTCAGCCATCGCTTACATTATACAATGCTTTCCAACTTTTGTTGTTGTTGGCATTCTTGTATTTGCATTCTTGTCGTCGTGATGAAAGGAATGTCTTGAAAAACGAATGCTGTGCTCAATAAAATTGTGGTACTGAAGTGTCCACCTGTGATGACATCACTGTTTTCCTCATGAATATGCAAATTTGCATAGCATGAACTCAAAAGGCCCTAAAGGACCTCTAATAATGAGTACACAGACATTATAGGTGCAGTTGGATTGGACACCAAATGACAAATTTGTATTAAATGAAAGCAAGGTAAAACCAAAATCTATTTCATTGGCCCTTTAAAAGATGGCACACCGTCCTGAAGAAAAGTATCATGTCGCATTGATTTTTTTGAAAAACTTGAAGAGGAGTATTTTATGTTAATAATTCCTTTTTTCCTTCTTTAACCAGGTATGGATCTATACTCTTTACTACATACTGAATCACAGGTAAGTTTGCTGGTGGGGTGTTACTTTGAGGGCTTTCTTTTTTGAAACAGAGAACAATTGTGATGCGATCAAGCTAAATGAGTCGTTTGTCGACTCCGGTCAAAAAAGTTTTTATTACAGATTTGAAAAGAGCACAATTTCAGCATTACTGCTGTGAAAACCGCATGCTGGTATCAGTTAAAAAATTCTGAAAGTCGGAACACCAAGAGATGTGATTAAATGATGTAATGAAGTGGCCCTATTTTGGCCTGTATCTCCAAATGAAAATTCCCGACAAACGACTCATGTAGCTTGATCGCCAGCCTCGACTCCAGGGGCGCGTGCTCGTTCCTTACAGTAACCCCTGGCTGTGATGATGACGTAAATGACGCTGAATGGCTATTCACAGCGTACTGCGCGGGCATTTCGAAGATTGCACGCCGGGCGCGCCCATAATGCGCTCGCGCTCGCGTGCTTAGCTTTGCACGTAACGTCACGTACGAAAAAAAAAATTATGATTCAAAAGTCGCGATGCCTGTACGATATGGATTATGTCAGCCGCGTTTTTCGCTAAAAAAAACCCTGTATCTGTGGTTGTAAAGGCACGAAAGGGGTATGTACATTTAATACAAATCTTTGCTAATTAACACAACGTCCAAACGTTGTGTTTGAAAGGATTGATTCTTCAAAATCACAACTTTTAACATTTTAAAGATGGCGTCGGCACGTAAAACGGATAAACTGCAGCCCTAATTATAATGTACCGTATTTTGGTATATTTAAATTACACAATTCCAGGGGTTACGATCGCGCAAGGCATGATGGGAAACAACATGTCGCTGCAAGATCGTACCCACGGGGCACGAGGTTGCTTGATCGCATCACAATTGTTGTGTTGATTTGTTGGTATCAATAGGCATCAAGACATTTCGATGATCCTTGTTGCAGAGAGAAGAATTTATTGTGTACATGTGAAAGTTAGCATTCTGAACATAAAGGGTGGTCTACTTGTAATGTCTAATTGGGATTTGTAATACAATTTGGTCCGTTGCCCCCCAGTCACAGTACATGCCCCAGCTGTCCTACATGGATCACCTAGCCACCTCAAGCGGTAGCCTGCGCAGCGCTAGCAGCCTCAGCACCGTAGCCAGCAACAGCTCGGGTACCAGCCGAGCGGCCAGCAACGGCAGCAACGCCAGCGGCAGCGGGGGCGCCGGCGGCTACAGCCTGTCGGACGTCATCGCGCTGGATTGACAGCAGGACCCCAGTCCCGCCGAGGCTAGATCTACTAGACCGACACCGAGAGCGGCTGGGCCGGGGAACTACGTAGCCTCAACTTACGCTAGTAGTAGCGGTAGTAGTCTTTACCAGCATCACCGTCTGCACCAGCACCCACTTTACTACAACAGCACCGACCCCCAGGTCTATCTGAGCAACTACACTAGCAGTTACCTCTCTGAGCTCAGGTAGTATCTGGCTTGTCTGAGAGTTGTATCTCCTTTCTTAGAGAGACTTTTCCAAATCACATCTTCGTCTCTGTCTGTGGCGTAATCACTGGCTCGTAAAGCACTATGTAGTCCATGCACAAGTATCCCCACAACGGTTATCAAGGGAGAGTTGGGGAGACCACTGGGAGATTCATGCGAACAAATTGCCGACGGCACCTCATGCGCGGCTTTGTGCAGATTCAGATTGAACTTAGCTGTGCGCAATTCGCACAAAACACGGCGAGACAGCATGCACATGCGGCGTCGCATGCAGCCCCTCCCAGCAAGCTTTTCGACAGTAGTTACAAATGCGCCATCTACCGGCACAGAGTCAATAGAGCATTTAAATTTTCAAACCGAGTGGAAATACTCTTCAATTTCAGCCTCACAATATTGAATTTTACGTTCATGTTTCCAAATCGGAATGTGACTCAATATGGAGATGGAGTTCGGTCATGTTCAGGGGCATGAGCCGCTGCTGGAGACGGAGTCGGGTTTTGGAAAACACATATGGTGTGTTTTTTGGGGGGATTTTCTTTTTTATCAGTCACCATGTGTTCTGTACACGGTCGTAGAGTCTTTAGCCTGTACCCTAAGGGCCCGTCTCGATGCATATTTGGGACGAGTTCCGGATAAGTTGCGGATATTGTATCTGGTATAAGTTGCAGGACTCCGAACAACTTCCCTGCAATCTTCCTGCAAAGAAGTTATCAGTGTTGGTGAGTCAAGCAGTTGCTAATGACAAAATTCTCCAGAACATGTCCGGGTACAAATGCAGAGCTTCTTCCGGAGAAAGTGAATGATTCTACCCACAACTTGTCCGGAACTCGTCTCGGATATGAATTGAGACAGGCCCTTAATGTGGCAGCTCTCAAAACGTTGGAAGCACTGCCTTGCCTTATCGTAAGGAGCTGAGATGGACTTCATTGAAATTTGCAAAGCTGAAAAAAAGGCAGGGAGCAAAAAATCAAGCCAGCAAGTCACTTGGAAAGGTGTTTAAGACTCTTGCTTGTCAGCATGTTTAATAGTGAATTTGTGTTAGCAATTGTTTTTTTGTGACCCTGAAAAGGAATACGATATTTCCCCTTGTAGGGATCGCATATGCTGTCTTACTGTATGCGCTTTTGCTATTGCCACTAGACAAATATGAACCATGTTTTTATTATTTTTTTGAATTGCACCGTGAAGAAAGAAGTAGATATTGTCTTAGAGTTTTAGGATCCACGTTAGATTTGTCTGTGGGTTTTTGTTTTAGAGTCTGTGACTGGTTTTTCTTGTGTTGTATTTAACCCAACATGACAATAAGTTAAAAAAAATATTTGTATAAAAAAAAGACAATTTGCCAAAGCAGCACGGCAGGAGATAAAGTTAGTCTCCAATACCAGGCGTCTTTGTTTTCGCTTCAGCGCAGAGCCTTGCTTACAGAATGCAGTCTTAAACAGCAGGTGCACACAGCAGGCTGGATTTTTTTTTTAATTCACCATCAAAGAAGATTGCACATAAGCACCCCCTTTTGTTTTAGCAGGGACAGATATATGTAAATATGTGCCCGAACACCCTCTTAATAATTTTTTTTTTGTATTTTATTATTTTTAATCCTCTCTCCTTTCACTTTAATATTGGTGATATATTTGTTTTTAATTCCTGAAATATTAGTATGCATGTATCAACATCGATATTACTGCTACACTCTCTATCTGTTTTACAGAAACACACACACACCCAGTTGTGTTTTACAAGCACTGTGCGATCGATATTCCCAGCAATTTCCACACGCGTAATCTTTAGAACTGCAGCTTTTGAAACTGCATTGTAATTGTTGTTCAGAAACCGTTGTCACTGTTGGACGATATACAGTCTTTGGTAGCAAACGGGGTAACAAAATATAGCCAACAACATTCCCCAAAAGTTTATATAAATGACGGCGTCATAAGACGACTAGATTCAAAATTATGACCCCTCCGATGATGTGGACTTTCTTTTTTTGTGGTGTATATACCCCTCTCCCATAGAATAAGCACACATACTCACGATCGCGGACCATTTTCAACACAAAATGAACTCTCAAGGACAACAAAGAATTTGTTGTTTTCTCTTTTGTGTTTCTGTCCTCAGGATGTAGCATACTGCACATGTGAAGCATATTTGTTCCTTCCCAATAGTTTTATATAACAGTGCAATGAAGGATTAACACCTGTATTTGTTATGTTAATATTTGTGAGTTTTGAAATGTTGGGGAACTTAAGGTTCATAATCGCCATTTCATTTCAAATTTTTTAATTTTTTCTTTGAGAATTTAAAAACAAACAATTTGAGATAATGAAATTTTGTGTACAAAAATTAATTTCATTGACTTTTTTTTCTGTGGCCTTGTTTATTGAACATCATCATAATATCTTGTGTTAAAATAATGATATTTACATGATAGGTATTTACAAAAAAGCCAATTCTGCATTGAAAATGTGCCGTTCAAGAGACTTCGGATTTTCAGCACATTGGAACCCTGGTCAGAACAAAATGTCCCCCAAGAAAACGACCTGGATTGGAATTGATGTATATAGTTTCTGAATTTCATTTTACTTTATTTTTTACTTTTTATTTTTGCTCCCAAACTGTCCCCATTCTCTGTTGATTGGAATTTTTTTTTTACTTTTTTTTTTTTTTTTTTTTTTTGCCGAGTGCATTGTGGTTCCTTTTTTTAAATGAAGTTTTGTGTTCTATGTTATTAAATTTACATTCATTTGGTGTTAAATTGCTTATAAAAGCTTTGTTTATTGGATGACTTGGCAGCCAATCAGAAACACTGTTAGATGCCCGGTTGTATCAACTGTTAAGTTAACAATGGCAAGTGGGAAATTACCCAATGCAGCGTTTTAAGTGTCAATCACATGTCATCCTGTTTGAAGTTAAGTCACATGCTGTTCAAATGAACTGAGAAAAAGGCACAAAAAGTTTTTTTTTCTTAAAATTTTGTAACTGCGTACAACATCCCAATACATTACCATTACCTGCCATAGAACGTACTTATACAGGGTGAGTCAAAAAGAAAGTGACCAAATTAGAAAAAATGACAGGGATAAAGTACATATTATTGACTCAATAATGAAAGTTTGCGGAAACACCATGTGTTAATAATTTCTCAACTAAGAGAATGGTTCTGAAAAGAACCAGAGGTATAAACTCGACGTTTCCAGTCAGTATTCTCTGATCGTCTTCAGGAGAGAGCGTACTGACTGGAACGTCGAATTTATACCTCTGGTTCTTTTCAGAACCATTCTCTTAGTTGAGAAATTATTTGCAACCTTTCATTAGTATCTCCACCATGCAAAGCCTCTAATCTTACTTATTATTGACTAGTAACTTTAAAAGTTTCACGTAATTTACATACTCTGTTCCCAAGCTACGTCTAATAAAAAGATCACAAAATGCAGCTGTCCACCACTGATCATTTATACCGTTCTACGAACTGATGAATACCCATGGAGTACAATGATACGTGAATGTATACCCACTTCCGTGATTGAACGAAAACTTAAAAAGGAAAACAGACAAAAAACGCCATCAATATTTCAGAGAAAAGAGGATTTGTTCCCCATATTCAAAACACAAAATCTGACAGTAAAAGTACTGTTTCAGTCTTGACTCAAATGATTAAAATCTCATTTGTATTTGAATGCCCGTGTGTAATCTGTTATTCTCACTCGGCTCAATAACTTCCAAAAGCATTCCAGGGACAGCTGTAGAAATAAGGTACCGTATTTTAATAAAACATGCATAACTTCAGATAGCATTGATCAATTTCAGTAATTCTTCTTTCAGATGAGTGGAAGATCATGCTCTTTTAAAGACACACTTCATTGGTTTATCAAATTCAATTGCTTTTTAAGAAAAAACTATCATTAATCCAGGTCACTTTCTTTTTGACTTGCCCTTATGCACTTCTGTGTGCAAAATTATGATAAAGTGTCCTGCCAAAGACACAATTGCTTCGGCTAGCTAGATTTTGCATGCTTACTTTGAAAACATTACGTGCACTTGACCAAGGCTTTCTAAACCAGATACGCAGGTTTTGCATTATTTGTTTCCGCACTACATTACCTTAATGGCAATCTGTATATATCTATTCCATTTGTAATCTATTAATTTGATTTTGCGTCATTTTTTTTGCAGCGCCAAAAACAAATTACTAATTACTGCTCGCCGCAAATGGTACCAAAGCCTGTGCCAACACAGCTCAAGTGTTTATAAAGTGAAAACCTATTTATGGAAATTTATAACAGAAAAAAAAACTATTTATGATGGGAGGATTTTTAAAAACGTGACAAGTATAAATAGATACGTAATACTAAAATTGTGTACATAATGTACTGTATCAATTCATTACTGTAAATGATTATAATGGGTTTCTTGTTTTAAGTAGTCGTTCATTGTATCACATCATTTGTGTCTTGTTTTTGGTGCTTTTTTAATACTTCTTTGCTGCTGGTAGTTAGACAAACTGGATTTATTTTTGGTATGGTAACTGAATCAGAGCAGGCCACCTTCTAGATCACTGATTTCACTGTGAGGCCACAGTGAAAAAACAACTTGTTACTGTGGTACATTAGCCAATTTTGTTGTGCATCTTTTCTTTTTAAACAAGCTTTAGATTTCATGGAGAGCACCAATACACATTGTAACAGGCTTTCAAGTATTCCTACTTTTCCTACTTTTCCTAGTTTTTCCCCTTTTTTCCCCTTGCTCCTACTTTACCTACTCTATCTTGAAATTCCTAGTTTTTCCTACTTTTGTCTACTCTGTTATCTCGCAACTCCAAGAAACAAAATCTCATTCAATATTTTTCATAACAGCGTTACAAACTGTCACATGTAAATCACACAATGAAGGGCTTGGGCGCAGGAGTACTGCAACTGTACTTCCAAGAGCTTAGTTGAGGATGGAGCACAAGTGTTGTGAGTACAGAACATGCCAAATAAGGCTTATGATGCTGTGGACATTGGCATCAACGAAAATATACTCCTGAAAGCCTACAAACTCCAATTTTATCCTGATTTTGTCCTCCAAAGTCCCACTTTTGTCCTGCTTTTTAGTATATTTTTTTTTATTGTGATCTAATGTTCTCATACTTTATCACCCGGGCTTGCTTGAATGCCTGTTGTTCAAATTCAAACATTTAAACATACAATGGAAATCTTCATGCACATGCCCCTTGCAATAAAGTCTCGGTTTTGCACGACTTACATGTACTAGCTCAAAATAAGTGGAGATGTGCTCAGGAATTGATCTGAGATAAATGTTAAAGGCACATTTTGAATATTTGTTTCTTGACGTGAGCTTATATATGAGGATAAAGTGCATCCCTATGGGGATGTCCTTGGGCAGGGCACATTACTGCAATAGTAATCGTAGTGCACTCTATTTAATGTTGAATACCTGAACCTTTCAGTAAAGTTGATGTGCAACAGCATTAATGCGCGCGTCATTCCACTGCACAACTATTTTATGTAAATACTGATGCAAAACACCAAACAGCAGTCTGGCAATCCAGCTACCAAACCAGCGACAACATTTAGGTGGTGTAACTTGTTAGTAATCGTCACTGTCATCCTTTCAGGAACTTTTTGAGGAAACATTTGTTCCTTTTTCAAACTGAATTTGAAGAATTATTTTATGTGTACAATGTACTCACATTTTGTTTGCGATATATGCAACCCATCTGTAATGTGCCATGATGTATTGTCTCCTGTGGAATTGTGGGAGCACTTTCCAATATTCAAATTGGAATTTCTTTTCTTTTAATTCACTTATACTTTTTATAAACACTGACAATACATAAACATGGCAAGTTTAGTTCAAATTAATGTCAGAACTTTGTCTTGTAGGAAATTTAGACACATTCATTGTAGATTTTTAATTCTTTATTTTCTTTAAAAATTTCGTGGATATTACTGGAATTATACAGATTCAGGAAAATTGTTTTCGAGGAAAATTTTGTTTTTGTAGTTGCATATTACATTATTGTAAGTGAACTTTGTTTAGTTTGGTCAGATGTTGTGTAAATTTCTTTCCAGCAATACATGTTTAGACATACGTACAGTCATGTCATTGTATGATTAGATGTAATAAATAATCTAAACTGTACTTTTTAATCTGTTGTACAAAATATAAAATCTTTTTTTTTTTTTTTTAATAAGTTTTCCTGACGGGGTTAGTTTTAAGAAGTGGGGACTTGAGATATGGTTTGTTTGTACTTCACACAAATGCGAATTGAATTGGGCGTCACGAAATATTCCGTTTACATAACACAGCACTGAAATTGACTAAGGCAAGGAACTTGGTCACAGTGTCCAGAAATGTTGTTGTGATCAATTGACAATTGTGCTGTGATGCGTGACTGACATTAATTTTAATAAATGAAACTCATATTGGTTTAGGCCAAGGATAAGGAGTATCTGCTCAATCAAAATTGTCAAAATTGACTTCATGGTTTTGTAGTTATTTGAAAAATAGTCTGACGGACACTTTTTGGGGGGACATACTGTATACCATAGACCCTACGTTACTCAAGGGCCCCTCGGTGACCCTCCAACGCTCTGCCGATTATTTCATGGACTTTCAACTCCCCCCCCCCCCTCAATCTCACCCCTGTCGAAGAAACAAACAAAAAAGAACTGCGAAAAAGGTCCCACGACAAAAAACACGGGCCTCTCGGTTACGCAATTTCACCAATTTGTTTTCAGTTAAATTCTCATCATCTATGGTTTCTTTCTGCATTATACACAAAAACTATTTCAGTAAATTTTGACCATGTTCACAAAGGCTTAACTTCTGGGTTTTTTTTAAAGCATTTTAGTATACTGTTACTTATCTGTTATTTGACTTTCATTTTTACAGCGTATCAGGATTGAAGTTTCAATCATTCAAGTTCCTGGTTCAAGCGCAATCTTTGTTTTCTTTGGAAATTTCGAGGGACTTTTATGAATCTAATATTTTTTGTGAGACACGTTCGTGGGAAATAAAGGTGGATTTTTACTCCTTTAAAAAAAAAAAAGAGAAAAAATCAGAAAACAAAATAAAAGAAAAGGACAAAAAAACAAAGTAAAAAAAACCAAGGATGAAACTAATACAAAATCAACAGCCATCATTGAATTTTCTTCGAAATTAAAATTTGTTTGCGCTTTTTATTTCATCTTTTCGGTGAGAGGAACCTTTCAACTTGCAAATGAGTACCATTTAAGAACAACAATATTATGTAATATGTATAATCTAATAATGCCTGAAAAAGTTTTGGCGCTGGGATAGCATTTTTCCCATGAGCCTGTTTTTCCTTCTTTTTTTTCCCCGAATGGTTGGTCAGATTGGTAGGACAGATCTAATCTCTGTAATTTCAGGAAAAGAAGTTGCAACAAAAATGTAATTTAATCGGCTAGTGTTAAAAGTAAAAGTACATGTATTTTTGTTTGGGTAATTGTCGGGACTCCTATTAACATGTGTACCACTTTAAAATAAGAGGAAAACATGCAAATTTTACTTCCAAAGCAATATGACTGTCCAACACAGTGAGTAGAATTGCTGCTGATGTAATTTATTTATTAGAATTAGAAATTTTGTGGATGTGTACCTTGCTAAATTTAACCAGGTCTAAATGCGTTGGCTGTGTAAAATGGTGTCGTGACGTAAGCCGTTAGCTTGTAACCTTACACTTTTTTAGTTGACTTTTTTAGCGTTGAATTCTCTAAACTGAAGGCATAGTTGCTATATGTACATGAATATGGCAAGCTCTTGCTAAGTAACTTAAAGAGATACAAAAACACTGATGCATTGTTCACCTGTCTGTAACCTGTCAATAGAGGGCGTACTCACATTTTAATGGTGTCTTTGGGAAAGGGTTTGGTTTACAAAGTATTGTGTTGACCATAACTATGCATTTGTAGACATTTCCTCAGCCCACAGATGTAAGTTACACATTTCATGTTTCTTGAACTACATGTAGTAATTAGTAGGGAAAGTTGGGCGTAGATTTCATGTATTTAAAGAACCTGGGGTTTTTTTTGGGGGGGGGGGGCGGCCGTCGGCGAGAGATGAATAAGTCTATGGTAAATATGAAAATGACAAATTTGATGTACATGTATCTGTTGTTGGTTGCTTTATAGGGGAAAAAGATGCAGTATTGTTTCAATTTAAAGAAATTCTTTCATGTGTATTATCATAATTATTATTATTATCATCGTCATTAATTTGTGTACATACGGTGTGTAAATAAAGTTCGTACAAATACGAACCATGCTTGCCCTTGTGTTACTCTTTACTTTAAAAAAACAAAATTCTTCTTAAAAAATCTCAAGATGTGTTCCAAATAGTCCATAATCAACGCGTGCAACACTTATGCACTGGCATTTTGTAGGTTTGCGTAGGTCAAGTGCAATAGTGTGGAACTAGAAGCGTAGTTTTCACAAAGATATGAATTTCCAATGATTCCAAACAACAAATCTTTGTATCTTACAGTGCAATGCCAAACTTCACAAAACTTTTAAAGTTAGCTGGTCTTTAATTTTAAACAGGAGCAAGGAATATTGCAGTCGCTCTTCACAGCAAAGTTGCCAGCATTCTGGGTAGTCGGGCTAGGTCTTTGTACAAAACATACCAGCTGTCACTTAAAGGTAATGTACATTGGCAAACATTCCACAATTAAACTGACAAATTATTATGAAATACCTTACTTGACTGTAAGTGAATAATAGTCTCAAGCATCTTAAGAAATCACTGCACCTGGTGTGCTGTCATTTTCGAGAAAAGTGGGAATATTTGTATCAATTTGGTTGGCATCGTTGGGGGGAAAAAAATGGCTTTTCAAATACTGGCCCTAATTGACCAATCCAGTTAATCCACATTTTGTTTACAATCGGTTACATACATGTATCTGTGAACGGGTGCAAGCCAGCTAGTCTGGTTCCCTGGCCCGACAATACCCCGAGTGTATAGATTGTTCCATTTTGTCTGGAGCACCGGGTCAGGGAACAAGACAAGAACAGTGGTGTTTTTTTCTGCAGAACACAAATTTTAAACAGCTCAGTGGAAAGATACTTTCTATACAAATGCTAACCCCTAAATCCATCCATATCTGAAAATAACACCAAAAGCAAATGTACCTTGTAGCTTTCATAAATGTATGTTCAATGAGACATGGTAACATTTTATATTTTTGTATTAAAATCACATGCACCCTGACAAAACCCTGTAAAAACTACTATGCCCTTGTGCAAAACAAATGGGTCATTCTATAAAGTTAGGGTCCATAGTGTGACATTTTTCCTGTCCTTGCTACCTTGATACATGTACTTTTATAGTTGCTTAACAATTTATTTGTTGGGATTAGGTACATGTGTATGTACTTTGCTTTTCATATCCACTCTTGGATGATGACTACATTCAGAATTACACAAATCGTAGATGTTACATGTAACAGGGACAGGAAAAAAAATGGACATCAAACTAATTGAATGACCCAAATACACTTTGTGTTTTGTTACTTTATATAATTCAATTCAAATATGGCGTCTCTCTGGCAACCTCTCTGTGCTGCACTATACAGTGGCACTCATATTGTATTCCTTTCAGGTGTTTAACACCAACTGTTGTGATTACTCTACTCTGAAAGCTTTAAAATCAATCAAAGTTTTTAACTTTTAGCAGTTTGTTATTTCAAAGGCATCATTTGCCTGAAGAGTTCCTGGAGCCAGACCACCTACTGGGCCTGCCAGATCCTCGCCGCCTCCTCGTCCCTCTATCCCCCTTCCGTTGTGGTGGTCTGGCTTGTTCCTGCTGGATGCTCTTGCTGTCATTTGCAGCACTTTCCCCACCTTCCCCTTCCGATTCGCTCTCCTCAAACGCCACTAAATTTGTCGCCAGTTTCTCCTTTCCGCCTTTGTTCCATTTCAGCTGGATCGTCTTTCCTTTATCAGACGAACTTCCAGCAGCCTCTGCAGGCTTGCCAGGGTCAGCTCCTTCCAAGTTCAGCTGGTCTGCAAGTTTTGGCGATCCTCCTTTTTCTTTTTCCATCTTGTTTGCAGCTGCTTCTTGATTTCTGTCGGGTGTTTGTGAGGGCGGTGGGGATGTGCTTCCATCAGGTCTGTTCAGGTTTTCAGGCCTCTTTGCACTTTGCTCCTCGTCAGCGTTGGTTTCAGGAAGGGCTGGGTGCTCAGAAGCTACTGCGGACGTCTGCTCAGTACTGTCCACGGTGGTCGTTAATGGGGAGTTAGCATCTGAAAATGGTTTCGCTGTGGATTCCATGTCATCGACACTGCTGGAATCTGCTTTTGCAGTTTGTCCGGTATTGTTCCCTCCATCCACATTCGATGCCGGTGTGGAGCTGTGTCTTGTTCTTCCTCTTCCCGATTTACTTCCACTGCCTGAATGGACGTCGTTTGAACCGCCCTCCGCTCTTGGGAGTGCATCCGAAGGTTCAGTTGTTCCTTCAGAGGTCTTGTCGTCAGCTTTCTCGCCAAGAAGTAGCCTTTCAAACTCCTCGGGAGTGTCATGCTGCTTTTTCCTCGCATCTTTTGCAGCTGTGCGGCCCCTACTTTCCACAGTCTCCCCCGTATCCTTTGATGAACCCTGGGAGGATGTCTGTCCCGATTTTCCAAGATGCTTTGAGTTTGAAGCATCCATCGATTCGTCCCATATGTCTGTGATCCCCTGCGACGTCCCAGCTCTCCCGTTCCCCTTCCCTCTACCAGCCAATGGAAGTTGAACCACGCCAAAAACACCCGCACCGCTCTGATCCTCCGACTTCCCACACTGCCGTCCATTAGCGTCCAGTTTTTCTGTGTCTCCCTGTACCCACCTCGGACCCTTCTTGCCCAGATTTGCGGCCCCTGGATGCTGGGGGTCAATGAGGTTAAAGCGCCCTCTAGCTTTGTCCCACTTGTCCTTCCTTCGTCTTGCGTACTGTACTTGGTCCATAGTCTGAACCGTTCCAGCTCCAAGCCCTGCACTCCTGCTGTGGACAACTGCTTGAATCTAATTTCAAAAAAGGGAACAAAAGTGGTATAATATTGAAGTATCCACTAAAAGTGATGAGTATCCACCCTAACCCTGCTGAATCCAACAGGATCCAACTATATCATAAACCCGTTGGAGCCTGTTGGATTCAGCAGTAAACCCCTTGTACAAATGTACATGTACATATTCAGAGTTGGATTCTGTTGGGTACTGATAAATAACGCCAAGTTGGACTCTGTTGGATCCAGCAGACAACTAAAAACTAGGCACAGTTGGATTCTGTTGGATTGAGCAGGAAGTAACCATTGGACTCTGTTGGATTTAGCAGGGTAGTCCTGAGGAACCCTTAGGGGGTTAGGGTCCACCAAAAGTGGTATAGCATTTAACTGAACCCTACAGATCAAAATTTCTCTCGACCAATCTAGGGTTTGTTTGTTTTTCTAAATAAATGGAGGGCTACAACGTTTAGTTATTCCGCCCAAATTTTCAAAAAGTTTTTAGGATTTTAAATGGGCGTTCTTTTATTCTTGCGCTGTCTAGACTGCACACCCTGTGTTAAGCTGACGACTTTTTTTTTTTTTTTGAAAATACTTTAGTTCGTTTTCATAAACAAACAAAAACAACTGTAACAAACAAAAAATCAAGACCCCTTGCCAGCCCCCACTTTTAGAATTTTTAGATCCCCTTTGAAGACTTACAGGTTCCTTTATCCCCCGGTCACCCTTGCCTAGTGACTGGCCCTCCGCCCAGCCCATCTTGGACAGCAACTTGTGGCCCAAGTTTGTCGATCCAATCGCCCTGTGGAGAACAAAAATGTCAAACGTTAGTATCCCTGGCGACTCTTTGTTGACGACTCTTTACTGAATATCCAATGGATATTTATTGTTCAGCGAGTAAATACATGAAACAGTCATAAACAAATATGGTAAACTGGGTGTTCACGCTTTGTGTGCTTTTTGAATTTACCCTTTGTGACCTTCTGGTAATCCTGGAAGTAAAGCACCTTTGCTCTCATAAAAAAAAAAGCTTTCTCAAGGTTTGGTCTTAATCTGATTTGGTTCATTTGTTATAAAGTAATGAATTTGGTTCCAATTCCTTACAATGCATGTTATTCAATACCTGATGTCTTCATGAGAGCACAGTAATATGCATAACTCGGGAGTAGAGTCGATGTTTGTTAAAAGTTTCAAGTCGACCCAGTGTATCATTTAGAACAAACTGAGCACTCGATGAACATGCACACACATTTACATAAAGAAAATAAACTTCTTTATAGTACAGCAATGATGGTCGAAAATGCCCGCAGTCCCAACCTAACTCGACCCTCTGCTTACTTATCTACAGATGCCGGCTGGTCGTCAGGCTGGTAAGGGTTGTCGCTACCCATGGTTCGTCTCCGTTCCCCCGCCCTGTCTGCATAGCCAGGATTCGTGAGTGAAGGATCTTGCTGGTTGGTGTAGTCCTCCTTCGCAAGGTTGAATTTCTTCTTGAGGTGGCGTAGTTCCTTGCGACGCTGCTGTTCCTTGTCGTGCTTGCTGCCAGAGGTCGCTCCTTCAGATAAGAAAAAACAGGTTAAAATAACTTCTTCGTTTCAGCAACAAGGGTCTTGTTTGTCTACAAATCTTGATGAACATCCTTATGTTAATTTCCAGATGAATTTAGGGCAACTCGGGTCCACCCAAATAGAACTTGTATTCGGACAGGAAAACCTAATGTACTAATATTCTTATTGACTTTGCTCTTGATTGGTTTCGAATGGCATCATCAATTTTTAGGATGTAGTCGCTCTCAATTCGGGCGATTCACAATGCAGGGCGCCACCAAGAGTTTGCCAATTTTGCAATTTTTCAACTTTACGGGCGACAAAACATGGCCCATTTGAATGAGAGTCAGTAGACAACTTGAGCTAATTTGTTATAGATTGGGGCATAGCATTCTGTCGCGTTACAAAAAAATACCATAATGATCGAAAGAAATGGGCAAACAGATCCTCGCATCATACGTTTACGAAACTACTAACCGGAAAAACTAACAATTTCAAATGTCCCGCGCTGTGAATGTGTCGACCATTACCCACAATGCACTGGGACAAATGAACTCTCTGTGGCAAAATCTTGGTGGCGCACTGCATTGTGAATCACCCGAATTATTTCAAATATCAATATATTTCTTCATAATGTTAAACTTGGGGTTGCTACGCCCCATTTCGTAAAATCGATCTAAGGCGAGCCCTCAAATTAGAATCCCTCCCCAGACCGTTCGGGGTTGAGCCCGCCCAGTATGTTGAAGGGATTGGGACCTTGCATGGAACCGATCGGCCTGGATTAACTCCACCAGGCTTCTGCACCATGGCTCTGGCTCATCACAAAGGAACCAATTTGTGACGCGCTAATCCTCCAGTAGGCAACAATGACTGTGATGAGCTTAAAAGAAGTTACCGCTGGTAATCCCAGCTGGCCGAATAATCCTCCAACAATGGCTAGACTTGCCTATTGTGAAACACTGAATCACCAGTTTGGACCGATTGGGGCGTCACGCTTCAGTGACCGGGTGGCTTCTGGCTTCATACCGATTGGGGTGGAAGAAATTAGCATACCGGACCCGGTACCCGAACGGTCTGTTATCTGATGGCTCGCCTAAGTTCATTGCAAAGCGATACAACAAGTTTACTGCTGCTGCAGTGTTTAATGGTATAGTCCATCATTTGTAATTTGTGCGTTTTGTTCGTTTGAAGCAACAGAAGTGCTCAAAATCTAAAGAAGGGTGCTGAACAACTAACCTGATGAAGTTTCAGCTCAGCTTCAGCTGTATGTTTTGAGAAAAACAACATTGTAGGATCTCGATTTCAAATCAAAAGTTGCTGAATCATGTTTTGATTTGGGCCTGAATTCAGCGTCTGAGACACGTTCTCACTGAGCCGATTGCAGCTATGCGATGTCGCGCACCGATCCGACGAATTATAGCAACTGCGCGCGCGTGTGCGTCGTGTCAACACTTGTGCGCACTTCACTGAATAAAAAAACGAACTACAAACGGAAATTTCCAATGGTGCTTCTTAAGACGCACTGTTGGAAAGGCCTTGTTTCTTTGATTTCTTCAAAATGACAGCTTGCCAGAAAGAATAATTTCACAGGGAGTTTAGTCCCCTTACTATCTTTCAACCAAGTATGTTTTTGAACAATAATTGCGCCAGTCACTTTTGGGATAGCTGCAAATGATGGACTGTGGCTTTAAAGGGTTTAACATATTTCTCTGAATATAGGAGGGTTAATCGTGAGCTTCCGGTACCTGCCGAGAGCTGGTTGAGCTGCTGCATCGCTATCAGGGCCTGCACCTGGCCCGGTTCACATTCCTCGCAGGTCTCATCCCCAGGGTGGATGTGCAGACGCAGTGTAGTGCCGCCAATGGTGATGTAGTCGCGGTGGGATAGAGGGTGGGGCTCACTTACAACGCGTTGCTGACAGGGTTTGGAGGTAAGCAGATGAACCAATAGTAATATTTTTATGTCCTTTGATTTATAAGCAACCTAAAGACTAATTCGGCGACAGCCATTTTCTGCGGTGGCACCAGGCTTGCGCGAGTCGTGCTCATGTAGCACGCATGAACTCCGGGCTCCTTCGACCCATAGGGCTACCAAAATACTCACACGCCTTTGTCTTTAAGAAAGCGTGCGACATACGCACAGGTGTTGTGCCACCTCAAAAATAGTTTCTAATTTTGTTCGGCGAATTCTGGTATAGACCACGCACAGCATTCGATCAATGTACATTCAAGAGTGAACTACTGATGGCTGAAGCTTTGCACAAGTAAGGCCTGTTCTAAACGCCGTGCGAAAAGCTGTGCCACTGCCGTGCCAAACTCAACTGAATTGAGCTCGGCAATAGCTCATTTATAGCACGGCAGTTGCTCTAAACGCCAAGCTTGATCTTCAAACTAAATACCTGGTTTAAGAATAACATTCAAGCAGTTCAACGCACTTTTAGCCCAATCAAATATCTGCGGCAATTTCACTCCCCATGGTTGCAAGAATGTGCATTCAATAGGGTATAAAATGCCACTACGAACTCAGTTTTTTACAACGTACAGCACCAAGAATGTCAAGTGATGCCCCCTCAACTTTTCAAATTTAGCAAAGGTCAGACAATCTCACGATTTTCTTTTTCCAGTACCCCCTCCCCCAATGAATATAGGGAGAGTGTGGCCTAGTGGTTAGGGTGACTTGTGATCCGAGGGTCAGGGGTTCGAATCCAGCTGCAGGCCATATGTGTGTCCTTGGGCAAGCCACTTAACCCCCACTTGACTCTCTCCACCCAGGAGTATAAATGGGTACCGGCATTAGCTGGGAAGTAACCTGCGATGGACTGGCATCCCATGCAAGGGGACAGAAATATCCTTGGTCGTTTCATGCCAAGGAAACTGGAGATAGACGCCGGCCTTATTGTCTTGTGACAGACTTTACTATTACATGTACTACTTACACCCTCCCCCAATGAATTCTCTCCTGTTAGACACGCTACTGCACTAGACATGCTAGACAATTGTGCTTAACACACTGAAATTGTTGTGAGCCGTTTGCAGTCTGTTAGCCAGTTCATTTTTGCGGGTGCAAGGTACTTAATTACTATTGTCATCCTTTCTTAAGCGCTCACCTCTGATATTGCCTTCCCGTTAAGCAACGTCCCGTTCTGACTGCCAAGGTCGACGATCGTGTACCGTCTTTCCTCTGCGTTGTAGACGATGTGCGCATGGCGCTTGCTGACCTTCACGCTCTGGATCAAAATGACGTGACTGCTGCCCTCTCTAGACCAGAAAGAGAACGGAGTAACAACGTAAACACAGACTTTTACCAGTGATTTTCTTTTTACATTTCCAATGGGGAATTATCAACAAACATGAGCAAATTTTTGCAGAATTTGCATAAAAAAGTGGAACAGGCCCATGGTGTACATCTCCCACAATTACTACAACTCATAAATATTCATCAGCTTTCAGTTGTATTAGGCTGTTTCGGCAATTAAAGGTGCATTCTTGAAGCCCTATATCTGCATAACTACGGGTCAGATCTGGTTGAAACTTGGTACATGTATGTACATGGACGAGGATGTGTTATAGATGAAAATTGAGATGACACCGCGATCAGATGATGTCAAGGCAATATCATTTGATTTTTTTTCTCCGATTTATCAACTTTTATTCTGTGTTGATTTGCACAGGAATTTCCACATGACAACATTACTACATGTAAATACATATACTCATGACTAGCGAAACAGCCAAAGGCTCTGACACTCTTCTCCAGTTTCTGGGTTTTTTCTTTTAGGATACCTACCTGCCAATGGTACCACCCTCGCATGTGATAATGAATAGTGATCCTGGCTTGAGAGTGTCTGATTTGGTCACAATCATTCTGATGCACGGGGGGTAATCAACCTTCAGCACTGCGAGGGGGAAACAGAACAAAAATTCAATCTCAACATACTGGGGACAAAAAAAAATTGACTGGCACTGTAAATGTTTGATTAAAATTATCATTTCAAGAGCGAGAATGGGGGCAAACGAAAAATCCACGAAATAACTGGCAGAGGATTTTAGGTTCACCGAAGTACACATGTAGGGTCTATGGTGTATGTTTGTATTTACCTAAAGGCAGCCCTTAAAATACCAATCTCTTTTGTTCTATACAAACTTTTATTGGTAACAACACTTCGAGGGTAAAACCTCAGGAATTCCAAATTTCAAAAGATATTCTTTAAAAATCGTAACAAAAAACCCTGACAAATACCACCACTGATATTTAGAGCACACATTGCTTAAATGGTAGATGTGCTTTTCACTTTCTGTTGTTTGGTTGAGAACCTCTTTCATTTCCACAAAAAAAAAAACCTTTGCAAAAATTTGAGTAAAGCATTCAACATGCTCCATAAAACATCATTAAAATGCAGTGGCGAATACTGCAAATCTTATAGCATCTCGCTATCAAAACAATTTGATCAATTTCGGCAGCCACCAATTTTTCTTTCTTCTGTGAATGCCATTTTACCTTCCAATCCACCGGAGCTATCTGAATCCACTGATATCTCTTCCAAATAATCCTCAGACGAGGCACTTGGAGACTCGAGGGAACTGCCCTCACTGGAGGAAATATCCGACAAGCTATCAGACAGCTCCCCTTCCTCCATCTCGTCCGAGCTCAGGACGATCAGTTCCTGTCCGTCTTCCACGATCATGACGTCTTCCACAATTTCCCCGTCAGAGTAACCCTCTTGCAAATCCCCTGGATTCGGTTGCTCGTCCGTTTGACCTTGCCGCGCCTCAGCATCCGGGTTAGGAACAATAACCCGACGGTGTCTTCCAACCTCATCTGGCGACCTTTGACCGTCGCCTTTGCTCTCGTCGTTCTTCCCTTCCTCTCCGCTCGGCGAATCGTCTTTTGCCGTGGAGCTCTCAGAGCTGCCCCTGATGGTTTCTGGACTAGTTTTATCTTTCGGTTTCTCGGACGTCCCTGCAGCATTTCTTCCTTCATTTCCTTCATCTTGATTGTTCTCATCTGCCTCATTCTCTGCCGACTGATTCCTGTTATCATTCCCCGTCTTGTGATTCTTTTGGCTTTGACTGCCACCCCCTTCAAGACCATCTAACTGCGTCCCTTCGTCAGCTCTAATCTCTCCATCTGACATCCCATCCATCGGTTCGCCATCTTCTTGTCCCTGGACATTCCTGCGGTCGTAGTTCTCGTCTTTTCTATTTCCATCAAGGGACTTCTCTTTCCTCCTCTTAGATCCACTCTCTTGACGTCGTTTTCGTCTCCGTTCACGTGACCGCATCCTCTCCTCAAGTTGCTGGGCGTGTTCATTGGTAACCACCTCAACCTGAGCACCGATGCCCTCGTAACTGTGGATGCGGCGTTCTCTTCTGCGTCGCCTCTCGCGATGAGCTCTCCCTGGAACGACATCGCCATCTCTCTCGGAAGAGCTGCGAAGTCTGTCCCTGCTGATGTCTCGCCTGCGCCGTTTGTGCTCGTGTCTAGTATCCTGCCCTATCTCAATGATCTGACAATCCATGTCTTCAAGGGTGTCCCTCCTCTAACAAGCCGTTTCCCAGTAACCAAATGAGCAAATTATGAACAAGGAAAAGAAGGGGAAAAAAACAACAGAAAAGTATTAGTGAATTCACATACCTGCGGACATTGAGCGTGTTGGGAGGTCTATACGGATTCTGGGCGTAGTGCGAACGTTGGGTTTATCGGGGGCGTAATATGAAGTTGTGGATTCCAAATTGTAATCGCTTCTATAAGGTTCTTGCTTTGGGTCTAGTGTAAGTTGCGATAGGGCTGAAGTCAAGGAACTCTCCTGTAATGCAATGCATACACAGAAACGAGAGAGATTTCAGCCAAGATTTTGATATTCCAAAACAATTTTACCGCACTACAGGAGTCCCAAACCTTCTGTTTCAAGGACACTTAATAGCCCTATGCAACTTTAATAAGGCAAAAAAAAAACTTCTGCTTCCGGTTTCCCTACCCACCCTATTCTGACAGCCCCTACCCTAATTTTTTTATGGGGAAAATGAGAAAACAAACACCCAAAACCATCAAATTCTACCTTTTACCCTTGACTACATGCAGACCCCTCCATATGATCGAACACACACAAAAATTGGGCAAAAAAAAAAATTCCCTACCTACCTACCCTATTTTCAATTGCCATGTAATCGGAAGCAGAACTATTTTTATTTTGGCCTAAAGATACCTTTCTTACCTATTTAGTTCAAAATATCATTTTTCCTTAACCAATTTTTCAGAAGAGAAAGGCACATAACAAGAACCATGTCCTAAACTTGAACATGTATTACTGCCATGGAAAGTCTTCTTTTTTTTCACTGTGAATCATTATTCACAGAAACAAAATTCTTATTTACAGCCTAGTGATTCCAAAAGAAAACGTAACAACTGCAAAGTTTGACTTTTTCCAACGCCGCAATGCAGTATACAGCAGGATTTTCTGTATTATGACATCCAACATTTTGGTCCAGTCATTTCTGGGGGATGAGATAAGACTTGCCAAAAAAAAGCCTTACCCTTTCATCGACATTTTCAGGTGCCTCTCCGTGCCTCCTGTCTTTCCGTTTACCCCAGGCTCTGCCTCTCCCCCTCCCATGATGCACCTGGCCAGGCCGGGCGGAGGGCGGGAGATCCACCTGTGAGTGGAACTGGTAGGAACCGGTTACCTCATCAAAGTAGTAGTACATGCCGTTGTTGGGATCATAATACAGCTTATTCACCTTTGGAAAAATTTGACGGGGAAAAAATTGAAAGATATGCAGTCATGCATGTATTGAATCCAATTCAATGAAGCAGGGAATAGAAAATTTAAATTCCCTGTGAATTATTCCTTCTGGCATGTTGTCATTTTGAAGAAATAATAAAAGAAGGTCATTTCCAAAGATGTGTCAAATGACACACTTTTGGAAATTTCCATTTGTAGCTGGTTTGTAATTGGGCATATCCGTGAATGGGTGCAAGCGTTGACACGACGCGTGCGCGCGGTTGCTATTATGAGCGAGAATCGTCGGTTTAGGGTGTGACACCACATAGCAACAATCGGCTGAATGCGAATCATGTCCCGAATGCTGATTCAGCAACTTTTGAATTGAAATTGAGATCCAGAATATTGTGTTTTCTTGAAATATACAGCATTCGCAGAGCTAACGCTTCATCAGGTTAGTTGTTAAACACCCGTCTTTAGATTTTGGAGCACTTTTGTTGCTTCAAAGGAAAAAAATGCACCAATGACAAATGGGCTCCTCTGTCTTCGAACAATATTATCAGGAGTTGGAGCCAACGTCAGGCACAAATAAAACACAAGTTAGGGAAAGGAATGTCTTGTTATATGTCATTGGCACGGAATAATAATGCAAAGCATTTGTAAGGCGCACAGTATCTGAAAATAATAGTCATTCAAAGGCGCCAGTCAGTGGAAAGTCAATGTGTGTGAAAGTAATGGTCATTTTGTGTGAGAGAAAGCCGGTTGAAGAGGTAGGTTTTGAGGTGATGTGTGAAGAGAGATAAGTCCTGCATTGTCCTTAACTCATGTGGTAGAGTTTAAGAGACGTGGTGCAAAGCTGAAAATGCACGGTCTCCATAGGTCAAATGTAGGTTGCCAAACGAGTCTTTGGGACAAACAGTATGTTGGATGATGACCTCAGACCTGGTCTTTGTTGACGATGTTGTAAGTGGGGCTAAGTCTTGAAGAGCTTTGAATGTAAGTAGGAGAACTATGTAATGTATGTGGTACTGGATTGGTAACCAATGAAGTTTGCGCAAGATGGGTGTTATGTGCAAGTTCTGGTGAGTGTGCGAGCGGCAGCGTTCTGGACAAGCTGGAGGTGTTGGAATAGCTCGTCTCTGGACTTGAGACTGGAGGACTTTGTGATAAACCCGTGACTAAACCTGTGAAGACCGTTCAGGACTCGACTTAAACTGTGGTATTACCCCAACTGACCTGGTCATAGTAGTAGCCGGAGTTGCAGTCGTAGTACATGCCACTGGTCTGGTCTAGGACAAAGCCTGTCCTGGTGGCAGTGGCTTCAGCTACGGCTCGCACACTGTCCGCGATAGACTGTGAGGTGCTCGGATTCTGAGGCAACACAGGAAGACAGATGACAGGTAAAAAAACAAAAACAATGAATGAAATCTTCACGAAAAAAGGTCGCAGCTAACAAAAACGTAGATGGTTTGATTTTTCCGCTAGCTGGGTGGAGTCATATACTAATGAATTACTTTGACCTCAATTTGCATGTTGACCCCATGTGGGCGTGGTAAACCTTGGTGAAACAATTTTGCCACATATTTGATCATCAACGTTGTTTTGCGTAATAGTGATACGTTTTGGAGTGTTTTCATAGAGATAATGTAATATTTAACTACATGTATTCAAAGTCTCAAAGAAACAAATTTGCCAACAAAGCAAAACAAAACTAATAAATATTTTTTTTTCCACGTGCCAACCATTGCTTCAGAGGACAGTGAAATCATAGGATCTGCATACACTCAGAGATGAAACTGGCATATGGCAAAAAAATCGGAAAATATGCCGAAGAAAAATACGTGTCCGAAATCTGGGCCGCGCTGCATTACACACATGTACATGCATGTACAATACACTTCTTGCCCAATTTCCGGACACCTACTCCTGCTTTATTTTCGATTCAAACAAAATTTTATGATGAAAAAAATGGTCAGTGTTTTCATTGCATAAAATGCCCGAATTACGGTTAGAGTAACGGAGTCATCAATAAAGAAGTTCACTTCTTACTTGAGAAAGTCTAGGGAAAAGTCCGAAAGACAAGGCACCGTTCATGGTGCTTCAACCATGCTTCAATCATGTCCATTCAACCACACAACTCCACTACTCCACTTGCATTCGTACGTGGGAAAAAATCAGGTATTTATCGTCTTTCTCTTCTAACAAATGCCAGTGAAATGTTTCGCTAATGCTCTCTTCGCTATCCTCGAGATAATCATCACGATTTTTAAGGCATTGTATTTTGTATAACTAAATTTGAAACCTCCGAAAATCGCACAACATAATGATTTTATCCACTGGATCGTTCACAAGGCTACCCGTTCGGGGCCGTTCTCGACCGGCCATGTGCTAGCAGACGGTACGGTGCAGTACGTACGCTGGTACTCATTGCGTGCAGTACATGCACGCACGTGCGACACAGTGATTTGTCCATGTCGCCTGTCAATGTTTAACCTTTTGTCCAGCCGGAGAAGGCTCCGATCAGTGTTATGCTCTGTGTTTCTACCGTTGAAACACTCCAATAACGACTGGTGAAAGAGATTAAAACTGCGTTCGCGATGATTTTAACGTGCCATTTCCATCGACTTTTCATCGACTTTTCTTCGAAATTATGATTGAAATAAAATGACATTTTGTGAGAAAAATCCTTACTAAATCAAATTTTGTGGGACACACTGTAAAAAAATCGGAAATTTCGTTGGAAAATTCAAAAAGTCGGTTTTCCGATTAAAATCGGAAAAGTTTCATCTCTGATACACTGGATACCTCTCAATTCACCCTTGCATTTGTGCTTCCGCACTCTCCTTAGGCCTTCTACAAAAATTAGACACACAAACATCAGACAGACAGACAGATATCAGACAGACAGACAGATATCAGACAGACAGATCAGGACCTTTTTATATAGGATAGTCAGTGACGTTAGGTTTCCATAAATTTGAAGAATTAGTGCTTTTAAGTTTTACTTTGGTGCGTTTTAAAACTTTCTGATACATCTATTTGTTTATAAAAACATTTCAAGTGCTTTTCTGGGGTTTTTTTAATAGTATTTTTAGACAACTTTTGTAAGATGGCAGTTATTCATCCCTTTCTGGCTGCCATATGTCATTTCAATTGAATCAAACCGTGAATAGTAATAAGTATATAATATATTATAATGCTTGAGTGCTCCAACTAATGACTTGTGCCTTATATTTCGACATAATTAAACTCACTGATGTCCCGACTTCCGTGACCCAATCAGATGGGCCAGCGCTTCCTGCTGTAGCGCCCCCTTTTGATGACGCAACTTTAGCCACCATGTCTACCTGGCAGGCAACTTCGGCGACAGATTTATTCCTGGTTTTGCGCAAGTCGTCCAGTTCTCCGCTTAACGTTTCAACCTACAAATATGCACACGAAATTGGATTGAAAAATCCATGAAAATAGAGCATGTCAGTGCCAAAATATCCAACACTTTTTTCAGATTATATTTTAATGGGGATCAAACTTTTTGATTCTCTGGACTTGCCATTCAAATACTAAATGGCCCATCTTGTGAAAAACTTGGGACTTGTAGGCCAACCAGTCTACAAAATGTAGTCTTAAGCCCCTATCACACAGTGCTGTTGTCTATCAAGTTTTTACGAAATACCTTACTTGGATGTTGGTAAATGACAGTCAAAAGCATCCTGTAAAATTATGGCTCCTGGTGTGAAGTCATTTTCAAGAAATTGGCATTTTTGTATACATTTCCAACAGTGGTTGGCCGATCACCGTTGGAAAAACCGAACTATTTTTCAACTTCTGCTTCAAATTTACCATTTTTTCAGTCCAAATTTTGTTTGCTATTGGTAACATGTTCATGAACGGGTGCAGGCCAGCTACACTGATTCCCTTACCTTACAATTTTCCGGCATCTATAAATTGATCCATTTTATCCTTAGTGGAGTCGGGGAACCAGACTACTTGAACATTTTCGTTTTTCTTGGTTTTTCCAGCATTTTCGAACACAAAACTTCAAACATGTCAGTGTAACAATATTTGACCTATTAAACTAACCCCTCAAGTAGTTCATTTCTTAAAATTACAGCAAAAGCCAATGATGTACATTCCCTTTAACAGTTTTCTGTATAATTCAAAGGTTTCATTGTTTAATTAACCAACAACACCCACAAAACTTGCAGGAAGACTTTTTAATTATCAAAATATACATCATTGTACATATTTGGCCAAAATGTGGCGATAAAAAGTTTGAGGATGGCACTTTGTCCTAAAACAATCTTTGTTGGCTGGGTTACCGTAAGCTCAATGGTTTTTTTACGCCTTTCGGATATTTTGGAGATTTTTGTTGTCTAAACTTAAGAGTGAGGGAATTTGCCCTGATTTTGTTTAGCATGTTTCCTCGGCCCGACCTTCTTGCGTAGCTCCACGGTGCATCTTTCAGCTTCTGTTCGCAACGTCTCGCTCTTCTCCAATTCCGTCTGGGCAGCAGTAAGTTTGTCATTCGTCGCTGCCAGCTCCTGGTTCAGACCTTTGACTTTTGACCTCAATGCATCCAAATCGTTGGTTGTCGACGGCACCTCCTCTGTCTGATCCTTTGACAAGAAAAAAAAACATTGTCTTCTTTTTGTAACAACATGACAGTCACTGAAACCAACAATCGAAGCTAACGAAAGTTTCCACCGTCTTCGATTGTTCAAACAATTGCACAAAATGCAGATTCGGTAACCAAGTCCCCCATAGCCTTGTGTGCATTTATCTGCCACGTATATCCCGAAAGAAAAATTGTCCAATACTGTTGTGTACATGCGCAGTTGGAATACGGAACTGGCTTATATAATCGAAACTAAAGACATGAAAGAGGGGCCCGTATAATCGGTAATCCTTACTTTTAGGACACCTCTATTTTTTACGAGTTCTGTTCAAAACTGACTTTTGCAGATGTCTGTCCAGTACCAAAGTGACTTTTGCAGGCTAAAGCAGTCTTTTTTCTTCATATAAACTCATGTTAGTTGTAATTTTGAAAGCACTTTCAAAGAAAATGTGACTTTCCTACCTTTTTTCACAGTCAGACGTGCATGTTGTAGTTCTCACAACAGAGTGAAAGCCCTACATAATGAAAGCCTGATGCTGATTGGCTGCTAAAAAAAATAAATAAGACGTTTATTTTTTATCAGCCAATCAGCATCGAGCTTTCATCGCATCGAGCTTTCACGTTTGCCATCTTGGTTTTTGAGTCTGTTTTCTGGTTGTCATCGTCGTCTTTTACCCCTGAATTTTCCTCATAAATCAAATTCAAAGCCCTGCCCTCTCCCCACAAAATTAAACCTGCTGATATTCAAGATGGTGTCATTGCCAATTGTTCAGATGTGCCAAGAAATATCAGAATGTCAATTTTGAATGTCATTTAGTCAACTGTTTTGGTGAGTCTTTCCCTTCCTAATACTAAAGTAAGGGTTAGGCCTACCTACCGTATAAACTACATCATGATCGCCATTTAATTTTTGGAAAAAATTCCGTACTCGGACGTCACTTTTTTCAATTAATTTTCTAGCGCCAAAAGTTACATCTTTTATGGTTATTCCTCCACTTTCCCTCCTCTACTCTCACCCTCTCCTTTCCTCAATTTCTATATCAGTCAGTTACTTCATCGGGATTCGAACCTCTGACGCTTGCTTGATACACGAGACTCTTAACCGCTAGGCCGCGCACGATCGCTGTTGCAATAATCAATCTTTGGACGTATTTGAAGTACCCATTGAAATAAACTAAATATTCATGAGAAAATAAATATTCATAATGACGTATTGCACTATCATTGGCAGGCTCATGCGACGTCATGGTTGTTGATGTCACGTGTATAACGTACCGCTGTCTTTCAGCCACTGACTACAATCAGTTTTGACCGGCTGCTTCAAGTTAGTTCTCCACGACGTATGCATCCAAAATGTGCTCTAAAAACACATTTTGAGTAATTTTTTTTCACTTTTACACAGCTTCCTGGATTTCTCTTGGTTCAAATGACAAGGTGAGGTGACAATTAATATGTTTGGCAGCAGATAAATTGGCATCCGAGTATGGAACTTTTCCCTAATTTTTTATGATAATTTTGATTTTGCATACATGTTAGCCTACCTCAACGTCTTCTGTGGTCTTGGTATCCATCCTTTACTATAATGTTCAGGGCGAAGGTAGATTCCAAGTAGGCCTAGGCCTATATTTCGAAAGAAAAGTAAAGTGACTTCGACTTGAGTGAAATCTGCAGACGACTGTTGACTGTTGTCTGGTTCACTGTTCACAGCCACCGGTTTACTTCCACGTTCCAGATCAGAATAGTTGGGCTGTATGCGTTGTTTTCCCGGGGGTCATCCGTATTCTGCTGAAAATAAAAATGAAATCAAAAGGTTATGGTCCATTTCTATTGGCGAAACTGGGCGATCACAGATGTATTCAAGCGTAAATTGAGGAAGAAACCTTGAGAAGTTGTCATTTTCTTCTGCAAAGAAAGCCGCCATATTGATCAACTGGACAATTCCGTGCCATTGGTGGCGCTTTGTCATTTGTGGTTGTATGGTAGGCAGCGAAAGATTACAGGAGAAACCTTGGCAAATTGATAGAATATTTTGTGTTGACTGGTCCGTTTTCGTCATTATTCACAATAATGGGGATTAAAAAGATGGCTGTTAAAAAGGAGACACTTTGTTACCTCTGTTAATTGTTTTAATTCTATTTTTGAAGAAAATTGTCGAGATATTCACTGCCGCGCAGTTTGTCAAGGTAAGGCTTTCCATATTTTCGCGCAACTTGGCGATCGCGATATTTTAGTTGCGGGGCGCCGCGGTCGCGGTCTAACGTCAGTACTAGTAGTCAGGTAGAGTACAGTGCGCAGATCGATTGTGGGCTTTTTGATTTCGCTAGCGGCGGCGATTTGTAACGGGTGAGTTCCCAACTTGTCTTTACGATTACAATACACTCTCTTTTTAAATCTAAAGGCAATTGATTGTCATCTAGCATGGTTAGTGCATTGCATTTGTCAAACTTATTTGCCCTCACTTTCAAATTTTGAAATTGTCACATGTCAGAGAAATCATTGTTCATGTTTTTTATCAGTGTTTTATGCCTTGTTTTTAAGTTTGAATTTGATTTTGAAATGTCTATGATGAGTATGATCTATATGTTTAGTGCATTGCATTTGTCAAACTTTATTTGCCCTCAGGCCACACTTTCAAATTTTGAAATTGATTGAGAAATCATAGTTTTCATGTTTCTTATGGCTATGCCCTGTTTTTGAAAGTTTGAATTTGATTTTTTGAAATGTCTGACTATGAATTTAGTATAAATAACTATAATCCTGACTTATGTCGTCAGTCACTTGTGTCACATGTCATCGTCACTGTCACTGAGTGGCAGCCAACAGTGGTGTAGTGGAGGGGGGGGGGGGGATGTGGGACATACCTAATTGATGCCCCCAGGACCTCCTCCTCCCCCCCCCCCCCCCCCCCCCCCCCAAGTGAAATTTGCTAGTCCTTTTTCACTTCATGACTGGCCTTTATTATGATTGCCCATTTCTAATGTCGCGCAAATGTCTTTAATTGTGCTGCCCGGAAGAGTGCCACCTATTGTTCGACAGTGTCCGCTTCGAAAGAAAGATAGTGTCCATCTATAGTGTCTAGTCTACCATGGTCTACCTGGCAACCCGGCCCCCACCATGAAAAATTGTGTCATGAATAAAATAAACCAAATCAGTGTGACCATGTAAAAGAATACACAAGTTACAGTAAACAAGTTTTTTTAAAGCAGAATACTTTCTGGAGTTTACAAAATTTAACTTTTTCAACTGACATGGAAAATTGGTCTTAATAATATGGTTGTCTGCCCAAGCCATGTGAGCATGGTGAGTGTAATGTAAAGGACAAGAAAAGGCATCTGTTTACATTGGATCATCGAGTTACTGATTTCTGTCCATACACTGCTCGCATTGCAGTGGCGACACAATGCAGAAGGTTGTTGAAAGGGAAATTTGAGATTTCGGCCCGCTATCTTTAAAATGGAAGCAGAGTTGAAATGGAAATTTTACACCTTATTCAGTTATTGTACAGCACTGGTACATTGGACTGTATATAAAGCAAATGGTTTAACAGTATGGGAAAATGAAAGTTGTCATGGCCTTACGCCTCGAAAATTTGGCATAATTTGAGATCCGTTTCGTAAAATGTGAAACTATAAAAAGTTCCAACTTACGTTGTAGTACATACCGGTACATGTATGAAGGTGTAAACATGCAATTCCACGGTTGCTCGCATTACACTTTTTGTGTCCATTTACATTCTGAGTGCTGTGGTATTCACACTACAGTGTGTCCCCCAAAAAAGTTTCCATCTGAATATTTTTGAAATGACAACAAAATCATGAAGTCAATTTAGAAAATTTTTGATTGTGCAGATACTCCATATCCTTGGCCTAAACCCCTATGAGTTTCATTTAATTTCAGTCACGCATCACTACACAGTTGTCAATTGATCACAACAACATTTTTGGACACTGTGACCAAGTTGGAACCATTTGCCTGGCTATCACAGTATCAGCCATCACGGCAAGACTTCAGTTTAATGCTCAAGGGCAAATGATTCCAATCCCAAACAACATCAGCCTTTTTTTTCACAACATGCACAACTTTACACAGCTTACATTTATAACACAGCACTGAAATTGATCTGCACAATCAAACATTTTCAAAATTGACTTCGTGGTTTTGTAGTAATTTGAAAAATAGTCAGACGGACATTTTTTTGGGACATACTGTAGTTGGATTATCTTTTCCCTTTTTTGCATTATAACATGCCCAATGTTCAAGGTTTTGCCCTGATGACAACAAAAAAGCTATGGATTCCCTCACTTGAGTATACTCTTTGGAAATGTTGTTACTTGCATTACACCAAAAGGATGTACACTGTGTGCCAAAAATGGTCGTTCTTTTAAACCAGTAGTTTTGTCAGAGTGAAACTGAAATGACCAAATGAGCATTATTACACAACATGTACTTGTACCATTGTAATTAAGATCCAATGCACATGAGGTCCTGAAAAAATCTTGGTTAAATCGCCAGTTGTTTTTCAAGACCACAGGAATGTTTCCCTAATATGTGTATACCAGTGAGAACATGATGTAGCACCTCCTGTCTTGCTGTTGGTTTTTCATAATCAACAGAATACATTTAACCCTTGAAATATAGTGAATACACTTGTCACAATATCCAATGTGTATTCCTGTGTATGAGGCAAGTTTTTAACATTTTTAAGTGGAAATATCATAGAAAGACACTATGTATAAGTTGACCATATTGTGGAAAGAAATCTGCAGCCTTTTATGTGGTGCTAATAAAATAATTAAAAAAAAAAAAAAAATCTGATCATGTGTAGCCACTATGGGCATTCAATCCTTGTTTTATTTTATCCATTTGCTTTAGGAAAAGTTGATGCCAGCCTCAACCGGTCTAGTGCTCCACAAAGAATCATCTGCCAACAACCTCCACCAAATAATAGAAACAAATTGAAAAGTACACTCAGTCGTGCATTTCAATACTCTCGAGGACAATGCTTTGTGTTTCCCTTTGTCCCTGTAATATAACACTCTCCCATAGACTAAGCACATAACCGTTTGATCAAGCCGTTTTCAGCAAAAGACCCAATGCTTGAGGACTGAACTAGGATCGTTTGTTCTCCCTTTGTGTGTCTGTCCTCGATCGTAAAGTCATACAAATGCATGTATTTTAACACACGTATTGCATGTGGTCGTCACCAAATTTTCGTGATTTTAAATTTTTTATTGATTCAACCGTTGCCCTGTAAATCGTGACTTTTATCAATTTACAATTGGAAGTCTACCTTTGAGTGTTTTGCCAAGTGCCACAAGAAAATCAACATGAGGCCGAGATTTTGATGCAAGTGAACCTATTAGCGACATCATGGATGCCAAAGGAACAATAGAAGACAATGGCCAATTGTCTTCCGAAGCAACAGACAATGCAACATCACTTTCTCGCTCTAGTGGACACACCCAAGACTGTTTGAAAGCAAGTGGACGGGGGAGTCAGAAAGACTCCTCTAAAATTGCAGATGGTCACATTCTCACATGGGGTTGTGGGGAGTTTGGACAACACGGCCACGGCCACACGAACAACGTTGAACCCGAAGAATCGCTGATGCGACACTTCTATGAACGGGTCGCCGAAATAGTGGGGACTGGGAAAGGTTTGTCTGCAGGATCCGTTGTTGAGAGGCTGAAGACGTTTGCGTGCGGAGCTAGCCACACTGTGGTTGTGACAGGTGAGCTTGGGCCTAATCTGAATAACTTGGCTGCGGCTGGTATTAAAGCTAGTCCATCATTTGTAATTTGTGCATTTTGTTCGTTTGAAGCAACAAAAGGATTCAAAATCTAATGAAGGATACTGAACAACTAACCTGATGAAGTTTCAGCTAAGCTTCAGCTGTACATTCCGAGAAAAACAGCATTCTAAGATCTCAATTTCAAATCAAAAGTTACTGAATCATGTTTTGAATTGTTTTGAATTGCAGCTATACGCGACGTCGCGCACTGATCCGACGAATTACAACAACCGCGCGCGCGTCGTTCCAATACTTGTGCGCGCTGCGCTGAATAACAAAACGAACTACTAATATAAATTTTCACCGTTGGAAATGCCTTCTTTCGTTGATTACTTCAAAATGACAGCTTCCCAGAAAGAATAATTTCACAGGGAGTTTAGTTCCCTTACTATGTTTCAACCAAGTTTGTTTTTCAACAATAATTACGCCAGTTACTTTTCGGATGGCTGCAAATGATGGACTATAGCTTTAACACACACGTCTTTGTGAAGCGGCTTCATCTGCTTCCATAGGCGCATGAGTTATTGGAAGCCGTAGCCAGTACCCAATTTCACGAAAACTCATCATAACGTACGCTGCATCTCAGCGCTACAACGCGTTGCAGCTGACAAGCGTCCTGCGATTCATTTCACAAAACACGTTGTAAGTGCGACGTGTCGTAGGTGTATTTATATCACAATACAGTGACTGCTGTATTTATTCAGCGTACAGTAAAAAGCAAAAGTTAAAATGTTAACTTGGTATTTTCCGAGATTTATTCAAGTGCGCCACCTTAGGGAACACTCGGCCGATTTTGTGCCCAATTTCCGGACGCCACCGCTTTTGAATTTTGGACTGAATTTCATGACACTGAAATTGTTCACAAAGGTTCAACAGCAAGCATTATTAAGGTAAAAGTATCAGTATTTAACTGAATGAATTTGAAGTTTGTCAACAAAGAAGTTTGGCCACACTGCATGAGGAAAGTCGGGGGAAACGTTGAAGTGCACCACCTTTAAATAGAGAACACCACAATACTCATGATGCTGACTGACATTTTCACCAAACTGAGTTAATTAATTTCGTGAAATATGTCACAGTGTTCTTTCACCAGCATTCATACAAATCATTTACTTATTGCGACCGCTGCACAGTACCTGCAGGGGCATGTCCACTGTTGCATTAGCACCTTGATGACAAATAATCAAAATGTGGGCCATATACACCAAATATCCAAAGTGTGTGTGGTGGGAGGGGGCTGTAAATGTAATGCCAGTCCCTGTTTGTAACAATAATTTTGAATGAAAAAAAAAAAATTAGGCCACTTTTTCATGAGGCCCCTCAAAAAACCTGGATACGCCACTCCCTAATCACTGTTTTGACAACTGTGATTTTATTCCCTGCATTTTCCGTTTTTTTCCCTTTGGTTGCCAAGCATTCCCTGGTCCAGGTGTGAGGAAAACGCAAATTCCCACGCCACAACAGTCAATGATTGTTGAGCATACACAGTCAAGAGCTGGTGCTCGTGCAGGCAAGTGCTACGTGTACATTACACAAACACTTCGCGGGGCACGCATACAGTGTTACACTTCACGTAAAAGCTCAATGAAGTGCTGCTTCTAATGTGTACACATTACCAAACTTCACCTACATGTACATGTACACGTACAACCTACATTAACGTGTGTAATGTATGGATGTATGAACTCAAGCTCTATATTGAACCAAACATTTCCACAAACACTTCCACAAACACTCAAGCAACTGTTCATGGCTCGTCCCACTTGTTTATAAAATTAAACGTTGTCATCACATGTCACCGACTTTCACAAGGAAAAGGCCGGAGTTGTATGACTTGTGATCATGGTGATTCGGACTCGGATTCGAGTCACACTGACAAATGACTCGGACTCGGATTTGATCCTACCCCCGTACGGACTTGGACTCGGACTCGGACTCAACCTGCGTGACTGGGGACTCGACCAAAATTGCCACAAATCACTCATTTCTCTCAACAATTACAAGTTATTTTGAAGACGATCCTTTCCTGAGCAAGTGACACAGTCAGTGCGGTGCAGAAGAAATGAATCTAAGTCTAAGTACTGTACATTGTATACTGATAGTTTTCTCACTGGATACCGACCGTACCGGTAGTGAGCTGAAATCTTCAGGGGATTCAATTCTAGGCACCTTGTGTGAACATTCAGGCGAATTTGGTGAAGTTTAATTTTGGATAAAAAAAGGGATGTTTTTTTTGTGTGATAATGCTGGATATGGAAAATGTTTTAGATTTGGGGGCTTTCGGTTCAAACCATCAATCTTGGTTTTCTCACTGGACACTGACCGTAGTGAGCTAAAATCTTTAGGGGATTCAATTCTGGCCTCTAGGCACCTTGTGTGAACATTCAAGCAAATTTTGTGAAGTTTGATTTTCGGGCCAAAAATTGACTTTTTCTGAAGATGCCGGATATGGAAAATGTTTTAGATTTGGGGGCTTTCGGTTCAAACCATCAATTTTGGTTTTCTCACTGGATACTAACCGTACTGAGTTGAAATCTCCAGGGGATTCATTTCTGGCCTCTGTAGGCATCTTGTATGAACATTAAGGCGAATTTGGTGAAGTTTGATTTATGGGCCAAAAATTGACTTTTTAACTTAGGAGCTGAAATCTCCAGGGGATTCATTTCTGGCCTCTGTAGGCATCTTGTATTTAAACATTAAGGCGAATTTGGTGAAGTTTGATTTATGGGCCAAAAATTGACTTTTTGACTGAGCTGAAATCTCCAGGGGATTCATTTCTGGCCTCTGTAGGCATCTTGTATAAACATTAAGGCGAATTTGGTGAAGTTTGATTTATGGGCCAAAAATTGACTTTTTAATGATGCCGGATATGGAAAACATTTTAAGTTTGGGGGCTTCCCCACCCCCTTCCCGTTTAAATATGCGGGCCTGTCCTTAACCTCTTTCATTGCGGCCATGTGTGCTCAGTCATCCTTGGCAATGCAAAATAAAATTAATCCATTGGATAGAGGGCATCCTGGCCTTTTTCGTTGCGTCTTCCTTAAATATTCCGTACATTTCTGATAACTTACATTTAAAGGGAATATACATCATTTGCTTTTGCTGTAATTTTCAGAAATGGATGGAATTGGGGGGTTGGAAATATATAGTGTGGCGTGATGGGGTGGGCCGACACCAGTCTAATTCCCCTTATTTGGTAGTGTTTACTTGTAATTTCTTGGCAAGGAAGTCAGGTCGTGTCAGCGGACAATGTCTCGTGGTTTTGGCGGGAGTGGCCGCCAATCGGAGCGCGCTCGCTGTTGCTGGGCGGGGCGAGGCAGGCCGTGACCGCACTTGCGATCTGTGTTTCCCGTACCCGCGTACGCGTGATTGGTGTTACCGGGCAGAGGTGAAGGGTTGGCGGCCAATCACGGCGTGATTGGGCGTGGCCCCGCTACCCTTGCCGTGGTACTTGAGCGCATGGTCGGCCGGGCGTGAATCAGTTCAGTTCAGTTGTTCAGTTGCGTAGTTCAGTTGCGTGAGTTGCGTAAGTTGTTCCTCAGTTCTGTGTATGGAGCGGGCTCAGTAGTAGTGTACGAGTGTAATTGCCATTGTCCGTGACGAAGCTAGCGTTTGCTTTGGCGAGGCCGTGTGTGGTGCAGTGTACCGGTGTTGACGCTGTTTCGGCCTGACTTCTCGTACCGTGGTTGAGCGATTGTACGGAGCGCAGAGCCCCGTGGTGTGACCCAGTTAGCCTGGTAGGACCGAATTGCTTTATCGTGTAATTTAGTGCATGTTTGCGCAATTGTTGCAGTTGAGTGTTTGACTTACAGAGTAGGGTGACTAAGTACAGGCATAAGGATTGTTGTCGTGGGTTCACAGAGACGTGCGATAACATAGAGGGTCGACCCAGAGGTTGACATAGAGGCCTGGGAGGAATAGTCACAGGTAGTCAATAACTGTACTCGGTCAAGTTTATTGTCACACGGGTTTTGTCGTATACTGATCAGCTAAGGCGCTCAAACTTATACAATCATAACAATCCAACGATAATAACCTTATAAATCAAAGAGTTCCCAATTAAGTCAGAATTGTCCGTGATTAAATAAACCAATCATTTCCTTTCCACAAAGAGAATTGTGTATCCCAGTGTCCAATATTTCTGCAGTTTCTTCGTCTGTTTGTTCTGTTCTGTACTAGAGTAACAGGGCCTGGTAATCAGTATCCAACTGGGCGGTAGATTTCCACCAAAACGAGCTTGCATCCCTGGGCCTAGAGGCTGCTCGAAAACTTCCCTAGGTTCGAGGCAGAAAACATAGTTTGGGGTTAGGGGAACTTTCGCCTCAGTCGGTGATTGCCTTCCCTGACCTCTGGTTTCAATTGACCTCGGGAGATTCCGCCACAAATGGTGTCAGAAGTGGGATAGTTGGTGCTGATTAAAGAGTTGGCCGGTAGAAACAAATTGCGTCTTGTTCTAGAAATCAAGCAGGATTTTTAGTACAGTGATTTCTGTGGTTGAAGAGTAATCATAGAAAGAGACAAACATGAGTCAAGAGAATACTTCGAGTATTGAGAGTGAACTGCAGAAGCTGAGATTAGATGCTCAATTTTTGCAATGGGAGAAAGAGTTGATGGCTAAGAAATTAGAAGCCATGAGAGCTAATTATGAGGAACCTTCCCCGGTGGGAAGTATAGACAAAAAGAGCCAAGAACAGGGGCCAGTGCGGATCGATTCGGAAATCGAGTTCCAGATGCCAAGAGAGAGTTCTGGTTATTTTTCCCAGGGAGGGGCGAGTCCCTCGGTGACCGCACGGTCGCCTGAAGTTGAACTTGGACCGAGGATGGGAAAAAGAGTGAAGTTTGGGGAAAGTACACCCCTTAGGAGTAGTGGTGTAGGAAGTACCCGACCAGAGATCTTAACGAGGAGCAGTGCAATAGAGGAGCTCCAGTCCTTTCTGTTG